ATCCAGAAGACAAACTTAACTAGCTTTCTAGCTAGATCTAAATTAGCACAGGAATAGACTGGTAATAGACTAGCATAGTAACATACACTATATGGACAAAAGTATTGGGACACTTACACATTTCACCTACAGGAGCTTTTATGACATCCCACTCTATAAGCATTAATATGGAGTGGGTCCCCCTTTGCAGTTATAACAGCTTCCACTCTTCTGGGAAGTAATCTACAGGATTCTGGAGTGTGTCTGTGGGAATTTTTGTCCATTCATCCAGAAGAACATTTGTGAGGTCAGAGACTGATGTTGGATGAGAGGTCCTGGAGGCAATCTCTGTTTTAGTTCATCCCAAAGCTGTTCAGTTGGGTTGAGGTCAGGGCTCGGTGTGGGCCAGTCAAGTTCTTCCACACCAAACTCACCCAGCCATGCCTTTATGGACCTTTCTTTGTGCACTGGGGCTCAGTCATGCTGGAACAGAAAAGGCCTTTCCCCACACTGTTCCCACAAAGCTGGAAGTATACACTTGTCCAAAATGTCTTGGTATGCTGAAGCATTAAGTTTTCCCTTCACTGGAACTAAGGTGTCTAGGCCAACCCCTGAAAAACAACCCCATAGCATTATCCCTCCTCCACCAAACTTTACAGCTGGCACAATGCAGTCAGGCAGGTAATGCAGTCAGGCTCCTGGCATTTGCTAAACCCAGACTCATCCATCAAACTGCCAGATAGAGAGTCCAGTGGCAGCGTACTGTAACAGGAAAAGCTCATTGTTTAGCCTGCTTTACCTACAATCAGGCCTGGATCATCCAGTGGGTTTAATGGGTGCGTGCCCAGGAGCCCAAGCCACTAGGGCCCACCCAAGCAATTATGACAAAATTTAAACAACTGTTTTGACTTGAGGTGGGAAAAATGATCTAATTTCAACTTTTACGGACGATTATAATCCTGATGATCGCCTCGTCTTACCTGAACATCAGCTTCATTTTCTCTTCCAGTCCCCAGTTAGAAACCGCTTCGCTATCTGCCATTACTTTGGTTGAGTTACTTCGGTCTTTTTTACACCGAGCTAGCGTTCCTGTTAATGCACTTTGAAACTGAAACTCCAGATATACAAAAGAAGTGCGTGGAGAATCGGTAAGAGACCTGATACTTAGACAGAGAGGAGGATGTCCATTTCTGAAGCCAAACACCAATAAAAATCTCAGCGCATGTTAACGGACAAAGTTGCTGCATCATTGTTGGTGGCGATCTGCAACGTCTACTCGAAAGGTAAGATATAGAAGAAAAAACAAACATTTTCCACTTCCACTGTGGCCGTGTGCTTCATCTTAAGATGGTTGTCGGTTTCGGGTTTTTTAGTATGCTCGTGTTGTTTTCTTCATCTTTTGTTACATATGTCTCTCAGCTGTCCAATTTTAATTGCTGTCTTCATTGGGAAGAGCAGATGCATGCTTTATAAGTAAGTAGTGCACTGGTTGTTGGGTTTGTGTTAGGTTTGTGCTAATATGAGCTTAATGTTGTTATGGTTTTGTTTTTCACCACAGTAGTGTTTTAGAATAGGCAGAAAGATGACGGTGCTGCTGTCAGCAACAGGCTATAACCCAATTATCCTGCCTTAGCAGGACAGAGCATGGTTGGAAAATGTATTGTTTGTCAGCTTGCTATTGTCTTTATGCAACCAGCACTGCTAAACACAGTAACTTTCCTGCTAAACATAAATGATGAATATTTTAAGTTTACAGTAAGACATCGTACTGTTCAGAAATATTTCATTCAAGAGGTTTGTTTGTAGAAACACTTGGATAACCTGTAATTTTAAACAAATGTTTTGTATAGCACAAACCCTATACTATGCAGCTCAATCAATCAATCAATCAATCAATTAATCAATACCCATATATGCCTTGGTAACAGTGACATGCCCAACACCATGGTTGGTTTGCTGCCATTGTGATATTATAAAAATATTTCCTGACTGACAAAAAAGGTAGCCAGGTAGGGGCCCACCAGCCATTTGTGCTCAGGGTCCTATAATTTAATGATCTGGGCCTGCCTACAATCGGCGAGCTTCCGTCTTTGGTATTCTTAACTAACTAGAGATGTAGCACTGGTCTGCCTCAGGATGGCGCTGTAGCAAATTGGTTTATATCCAGTTGGACTTTCATAGCCTAGCAACTGTAACTATATCTGGGATGCCTCTGAAAAACTTTACAATATGCCACAGCATATTTGTAAACCTGAAAACACGCCAATTTTGCAAGAGACAGGTGGAAAGAGTGAATCCTTTTAAAGCTAGCATCAGCACCGCTATGGCGAGTGAGTTAGCAGCCAGCCAACATGGGACCACCCAAATACCAGGATGTATTTCGCACAGTGTGAGCGCTACCTGCTGCTTGTCTCTGGCAGGGCTTAGACATGCATGCTTCAACAATAGGTGTCAGTCAGTCAATCAGTCAGTCAACGACTCATTAAGAGACAGCAACTTTGCAGGCTGGCCCACTGGGTGGCCCAGAAAAAGGTAGGGCTGAAAAGAATCGACTTGTTTGTTTCTTGTTTCCAGGCATTCAAGAATTGAGGGTTGACCCCAAAACTTTGGACTCGATTCCACACAGTGACGTTCAAGTTTGCCCTCACACACGTGAACACAGAGTGCAGGATATTCTATTTTACTGCCCAGGCTGTGTTAAAAATACAGCCCTCTACAACACACACATTGACAGTTCAGCTGCATTTACTTTAGATAAAGTGGAAAACAAGGTAAACAATTTGTAATGAAAAATTGGCTTCAATCAAACAATATTGCCAGTGCCAAAACATCTACTGACCTGAAGGAGTTGATAGAGGACAACTGGGTGCAACTTTCCCAGCCACATTAATCAGCTAGGTTAATTTAGCTAGCTCTCCAAATTTTCTTGCTAAGGTAAAATATACTTAATATTATACTCCTTTTTTGCCAGATGCCCTTCCTTTATCTTGGTTTTTGGAATCGAGATTATTTATGGAATCTACTCTTGGCATCAAGCAGCCCTAAATAAAGGTTGCTCAATGGTTCTTGGTTTGGACATACAATTCTAAGAAAAGCCTAAAACCTTAGTTGGTTCTAGAACCTTTACATTAGAGGTCCTCTGAACTTTGAAAAGGTTCTTCAGTGTTAAAATGGTTCCTCAGAAGAGCCTTTCACTGAAAGGTTCTTTAGAGAGTCACAAGGGGTTATTCTTTGGCATTGCTCCAAAGAACACTTTACTTCTATTTTTAAGAGAGTAGGTATACACAAGTATGAAGGGCTATTCATAAATCTCAGATAAAAAGGTTCAAAAAAGAAAAACATATTTGTAGGGCGTGAGCCAGCAACGTACAGTAGGTTCCTGTTCGTGTGGTATTCTCTAAGACTCTAAGACTAATGGCTATTTTCCAGGGAAAACAGACGCTACAGCCTTGAGCCTGTAATGGAATGCAGGCACCTACTGAAGAACATGAGTCTGAGCCTTTAACACAGAGGTGTCGTAGCCTCAGGGGGTCCACTGAACCCTGTGAGTCATGGCAGGAGGATTGCAATCTGTACAGTATGCAACATTCATGCATGACTCATATATGGAAAGACAACAGGAGGGGCATCAGCAGAGAGATGTGAGCATGCAATACCTCTCAGGAACATATTGCTTTGTTCCTAATGTGTGGTCAGGGGGAATTTTGAATGTTGAGGCATGGAAGACTGGCTGCCAAAAATGTGTACTGAGGTTACTGGGAAGAATAATTGTCTTGGCTTAAAAGACTTTTATTGCTTCAGGGTCAAATGAGACCAAACTAAAGTCAAATAAAAGGTAGCCGTCTTTCAGAACTAAACCATACAGTGCAAATGGACAAGAAATTATTTAGATTTTCAAAAGAGTATCAGCACTGTTAGAGCTCCAGTCTTCAATAAGCAGTGTGAGAACAGTTCACTGGCAAATATAGTAGGCATAGATGTATTTGATGTATTGAAATTACTTTATCATCCCTGTTAGTATTATTACTATTATATTAGGATTTATGTGATGCTTAAAAATGATACCTCAAGAGTCCATTTTGAGGAGATACAAAATAATCCACTTGTATAAGGAAGTGGAAAGTTAAAAGTGAAAATAAGTGATGAACAGGAGTTTTCACAACTGGAGTTCAAAAAATTATTTAAAGATATAGAGAAATTGGTACTCTGAACAACTATGCAAGACCTGGTGGTTAAAATTGAAAGCATTAGATAAACAGTACATGACACTTTCATCTTTGAGAGAGAGGAGAAAATCAAGCTCCACTTTTGTCTTAAATCTGAAAAAAGTCCACATCTGTTTCTGTCCATCCTTCCGCTATGAGACGACAACTCAACACCGTGAGTCTGAAAGGATGTGTAGCTGTCAAGAAGCTGACAAAAAAGAAGAAATTATGCAAATCAAAGAAGCTGCTGGTGTTCTCGGTAGAATGGACTGACCACCCCAGAGTCCAGGCCTCAACATCACTAAATGTGTTTGGAATTTTTGGATCGTGAGAATCAGAAAATTCAGCAAACTTTTGCTGAGACAGAATTTTAAAGGTGTGGAAAAATATCCATGTAGTTTTCTTTGAAAAACTAATAGCAAGTCTTCTGAAAAGAATAGAGGCTGTGATAAAGTCAATGGGTGGACACAGAAAACACTGAAAAAATAGATATTATATTTAGTTTTTGGGGCTCCTGTGTAATTTTCCGTTAAACATATGTTTTCTGTTAAAGGAGTAACATAAGGGCCAATTTGACTTGAAATTAAACAAAATAAAGGGTGGTCACTAACTTTTGCAGAACACTGCATAATTATGAATGTAGAAGTTGTTCATTTAGACTGAATTTTTTGTGTTAAACTGATGTGAGGTATCTATAAAGACATTAAAACTTAAACTAGTACTGCAGCACCCCCTGCTGCAGATAAGAAGGGATGCACTCACTATGCTAAGTGATTACAGGGCATTCCACTGTAGCAAACGAGGACACCTGGTGGATTATTTTTGTTATTATTTAATAATACCAAAGTCTGCTTCTGGAAAATGTCTGGTCCAGCTGGCACACAAAACTATACAGCACAGCAACAAGCCCTTTGTCACTTACTTCAGTGAACAGTAAAACCAGCTTATCTGAAAAAGCGGCAGCACAAAGAACTCTGCGCTATGCATAGAAAACAAGGATAATGCTGACAATCCAGTATGCAGTATGTATGCTACTGCTACAGTGCCCACAGAAATGGATTTTGTATCAGCGCCTGTGCAAGTGGGATGTCCACAGCAGAATACACCTTACAGCAACATAAATGCATATCAAAAATTAGGTATTTAAATGGAACACATACAGTAGGCGATACATTAAAATACAGTACATTACATATTATAAGAAAATAGCTTTTGGCACATCTTTAACAATAGCAATTTTTTCTTACACCACAAATCATAAGTACAATGCCTAGCACTTCAATGTGTATATTTTCTGGTAGGATCTTCATGCCACAGGATCCTAGGTGAGCAAACAAAACAGAACAGTCATTATGCAGCACTTTACATTTTTGGTTTCATGGAAAATCTTCATTCATGAAGAAAGCAAGGAAAAGACAGAGATCTCAACAATGCTCTACCTTAAGTAGGACTACCAGTAAGGCGATCAGCAAACCCAGAGCCAGAATGGTAGCAATGATGGCCCAGGCGCAGATGGCCTGGGCACAGCTGCACAAGCGGCTCAGCATGAAGCACCTGGCCCTGTGCAGGCGGGACGGCGTTAGGGGAGGGTAGCGGGCTTTGTTCAGACTCTCCATCGCTAAAGACTTAATGAGGCAAGCACGGTGGTGGCTTAACTGGTCAAAGGTGTGCTTCCCATGGTATTTCCCCATCCCACTGTTTCCTGACAGACAGACAGAGAGAGAGAGACAAACAAATTGTCATAGTGATTATTATTAAGATTAGAGATGTATTACCTGTTCATAATGACAAAAGGCAGCCTCCCACATATGGATTAAGCCTAGTTTTGGACTACACTGCACTGCCAATGATTCACCATTGGAAAGGCTTAATCTAGGTCTGGCAACCAAGTGTTAAAATAGTGGATTTCAACAATGGTCCTTGAGTACCGCAGCCTTGAACATTTTACTGTTTTGCCTGTTGTAAAACCCCAGCTTCAACTCAGGAAGGGGTTGTTAATTAGCAGATTAACTGAAACACATGTTGAGAACAGGCAAAACACTCCAAAGTGCACAGCAGAGGGTCTCCCAGGACTAAGACTGACATCCCCGCCATAGGCTTTATTCACATCTAGTCCGAACCAGAGAATCCCTTTCAAGTACCACTCTCCAATAAGACTGCCCTAAAGAGGGTTTTTATAAATGGTTTAAATTGAGTATATGAAATTTCACTAATGGAGGCAAATGTGAAAGTAACAGATCATTGTATCCAAACCAAATTCCTGACCAATCAATGAACAATCAATAAATTAATTTCAGACAAGGGTGTGATCATTTAGGCTTTCACTTTGCACAATATTAAACAGTGGCTATAGTTGTTAGCTACATTTGCCTCCTAGCACCAGCACAAAAATAAAGCAACAAACTTCAGACACCAAACGTGTTCTCTGGGCAACTACACTTGAGGACAGGGGAAAACTGTGTAAATTTGATTGTTGGCAAAACCACCACTTTAGGGCTGGGTTTAAGGCTTATTATCCAGTAACTACTATACATTATTCAGTAACTACTACGGAACTTATGTAGGGATGTACATATATATACATATATATATACATATATATATATATATATATATATATATATATATATATAAAGGGAAGGGTAGACCTGTTGACAGGTCTGTAGACTTTACAAAGTTAAACATTTCTACTTCCTGAAAAGTCTGCAGAAATAACATGATCGCAGACTAGGTCTATTTCCAACACGCAGCCTTACCCACACCCCCGAAGGGTAAGGAGTTGACTGTGTAGTGCATTATGACATCATTAACCACCACTCCTCCACTGGTTGTCTCACTCAGCATTCGCTTGATCACCTCCACAAGAAGAAAAATGGTTAAAATGTTACTTGAGACCATTGATTTTCAAGAAAATAGACAGAAATGTTATCAGCTGCTCATAAATACCCTCTTATCAGAAGAGAAAACATAAAGGGCCAAAGGTTTCTCTCTCTCATTGATGAAGCGAATGACCTCACTGACATCACTGACTGTTATTATCGGTAGCACAGGTCCAAAGATCTCCTCCTGCATTATCCTGGCATGAGGCAAAACATCCTTCACAATAGTAGGGGCTAGAAGAGATCAGAAAATGTTATACCAAGCAGTTTTTATACATGTACTCCTTATACCTATAACAAATTACAATATTCACCAAATCACTAAGCAATTTTATTTTAGTCCATTTTTATAGATACAATTATCACAATTTAACAGAAAACTGAGCAAAGTGTTTAAGTTGCATTCCCATACCAATATAACACTGTGTTTTATCACTTTCTCCCCCAACAGCCACTGTGCATCCCTCCATTAGGGCCAGAACACGCTCAAAGTGATGCTGGTTGATGATGCGACTATAATCTGGAGAGGTTTTAGGGTCCTCACCATAGAACTCCTGGAGTTAATACAGAAATTAGATCAAATACAGTCTTTAAATTCAAGCACATTATTCACTTTAAGGGGGAATTCCACTAATTTCTGCATAATGAAACAGTTAAGATGTAAACTAAGTCATTCAGAGTGGTTTCATATAAAATGCATCATCCTAGAGAGTTTGTTCATAGTGGTGGTGATAGGAACCAGATGGCTAGAGTTCAATGCCTTTAAAAGCATCATTATACGAAATGGTTACAGATACATTGCCTGATGACTGAGACATGTTGTACGACAGTTTTGGATAATATTTTGGCCTAAAACATCATTTTTAGAATCCATCCATGGTGAAGATGTACACACAGGGAACTGTGAGGCAAAACAGCCGCCAAAGAATTTTATTTTTTAAAAAAGATTTATTTTTTAAGGTTTGCCACCAATTTTTAATTACCGATAAACACTCAGAAGAGGTTTCTCCACAATGTTTCCAAATTTCTCTACAATGCACCACTTCACAGAATGACTTCGATTACATCTCCAAGACTGGAAAGAGTACTGAAAATACCTACATAAGTACAGTTACTGTAGTGATAATTTATGTAGTGCAAGTAAAAGTATTGATAAAGCAAAATACTTGAGTGTGAGTAAATAAGTAGTTTACTGGAACCCTATTTCAGTAATTGAGTTACTTTTTTTGTATATCCGCAATCCAGTCTAAGAATATTTCTGAGCTGATTTGGCTACAACATTTGGAAAAAAAATCTGTACAGACAACACTCAAACAAAACATGTTATTACATGAGAAAAAACATTTTGAATAAATAAAGCAGTTTAGAATGCTTGCAACGCTGTGCAGATTGTAACTGCTTAATTAAGTCTATTAGCTGACATCAACAGCTTTTATCTTCTTTACTGTGATATATTCCTCTGGGAATCATACTGATTACTTCATACAGAATCAGAAATGTATTTTTCCTTTATTTGATGGCTACAGTTAATTAGCTAAACAGCCTCTCACAAAGGCAGAGAGAGAGAGAGAGAGAGAGAGAGAGAGAGAGCAGAGCCAGGATGTGTTCTGTGATGAGCTGACAGAAAGTCTCTGATGATGTAATATTGTCTGTAAAGTGAGATAAATGTAGAAGGAATAAATGTATTTTTACAAATGCATTTTTATCTGCATGCCTTGCTAGTTTATCTGTCAGACTGAACAGTGATCTTAATCTACAGCACAACCTTGTTTACACTCTGTTGGACTGATGCCACGGTGTTTCTGATGACTCTTAATAACGTGAGGTGATATCTGTTCTGGCTGTGTACAGCATGAGCAAGACAAACCAACTTCATACTCCACCTGCAGTCCGATCAGATATGGCTAAACTAAAACAGCAACATTAGAAAAAATACTAAAACGTACCTGTATTTGTTATTTAGCTAGCTAGTCAGCTGCTCCCTCAGGCTGAAGCTGAGTTGTGGAAGCGGAGATCTCTGCACATTTTGGGAGGCATGTTTCACAGCTGGTAAAAACGCTGTTTACAGCAGTTTAACTTAAAAGGACTGTAGCGAATTTGAGCGTCTGGATAAAGTTTGTTTCTCCTGTGCGCTGCTAACTCGCCATCTCTGAACTCATCAGGGCTTCTTGTGGCTCAGAGCTGCTCTGTTTTTTGATCGGCTTTGAGAGACTAACCTTAACTAACTGGTTTATGAGCTGATGCACTCATAATTTATTTTTACTCTGTAATATTATTAAAAATTAAAATAGCAAGTACCATGATTTAATGGTACTCCAAGAAATACCATTACAGGGAAAAAAGTACTGAAGTACAGTAATAAAAGTAAATGTAATTTGTTACTTTCCACTTCTGGATTCTATTCATCATAAGAGAACAAACCAGTAACGTCAGACGAATCTCTTCAATGACTCTGTTCTGAATGCTAGGATGACAGAGGATGTAGTCTGGCGCGATGCATGTCTGACCACAATTAGTAAACTTCCCCCATGTGATTCGCCTAAAGAAAAAAACAGATAATATTAAGCTAATATGCAATGGAGACAGAACTACAGTGTCACCCTTTTTAAAAAGAAGACAAATGCTTCAAGCTGCAATTTCTGAGCAGGTGAATTTGGAAGGCACACATTACCGACAAGCAACTGAAATGTCACAGTCCTTATCGATGTAACAGGGACTTTTTCCTCCCAGTTCCAGAGTCACTGGCGTGAGGTAGCGTGCAGCTGCTTCCATAACCAGTTTGCCCACTGTGCTGCTTCCCGTGTAGAAGATGTGATCAAAACGCTGCCTCAGCAGCTCCTGGGTCTCTGGAACACCTCCAGTCACCACAGGGTACATCTCCTGAAAGTTTCAACCATTAAACTGGGAGAACTACATACTATACATATAGTTGTATTCAAAGGTTTGAACATCCCAAACATTACATGTTTTGTTTATTTTTAAAGTAAAAATAGGTTAACACATTCTCTACAGAGAACAAACATAGATATGACATTTTTCTGCTAATTCAGCAAATAAACAGTAATTGTACATTAAAGTGTGCAAAATGTGTTGTCTGTAGAGGATGTATTAACTTATTTTCACATAGAAAATCAACAGAATATGTAATTTGACCAGGGGCACCGAAATTCTGTATACAACTGTAACTAAATGATATGCCTATGAAGGTTCTTATCTAAGAACTGGCTACAGACTTCTCAAATCCAAATATATAACTATACAGTAATTGCAGCAGCAATGTTATAACTGGCCCTCTGGTCAGTTTCCACCATCACCTGATTACGCACCTTATCCAAATATTGAGGTAGCAGTTCTTTTAGTAGACTGGCCGAATTCTTGCTCAGCTCTGAGGGCTTCACCACAGCTGCGTTACCTTAAAGAAGAAGTCTAAGTGTGAATGGGGGGGGGTAGTGTAGCAGAACAGACTTCTTAAAATAAGCTTGTATTTCACAGTCCATAACTGAACACTGAACACTAGGAGATTGCCAAAATAGGGAGATTTTCCTTTTGACAATATTTAGTTCTTTTAACAAGATGCAAGATTACATTAACCAAGGGGTGTTCCAAAATGTACACAAATATCATAAGCGGCCCTCAGGGAAAAAATAAAATCAAAGAACAAAGTAAGATATTGGCCCTTTGATAAATTGATCTCAGTCTTCAAACATTAATCATGTGTGCTCATGCTTTGCTGGAATGAAGCCACACTGACCTTTTGTTGATAAGACTGGACACCCTCAGATTAAATCCTATAACTTATTAACTCAATCTTTCTGTATTGTTTTTCATTAAGTTACTAACGAATTTGCTTTACATTGTGGACATCCATTAACGTTAAGGGTGGCTATCAATCACAAAGCATCCACTTTACATTTTCATGATTTCCCAGCTCTAAAACAAATCACTTGACTCACATTGCGCTTGATAACTACCGGATGAGTTACAAGATGGGTTTTAGTGCCAAACAGTACTCAGTATGCCACTACATGATGAGCTTAGCAATGCAAAGTTTTTGAAAAATTCAGTTAAATGAAGCAGATGCTTGACTTTGTTAAATGCTAACTGCAATTTATTAATGAGAACAGTGGAGGTAAAGCCTTGGTGTACCTGCTGCAATGGCTCCAACAAGGGGCTGTAATGTAAGAGCCCAGGGATAGTTCCAGGCTCCAATGATCAGCACAACACCCAGAGGTTCAGCTTGAATAAAAACATCATCGCTTATGGTGAGCAGGTTCTTCTCAACAGGCTGAGGACTCGTCCAGTCAGAGAGTTTACTTTCAGCCAGCTTGATATCTTTCTCAAGTCCAATCAGCTCTAAAAGTGGCGTATCAAACTCGCTCTGCAACCAAGAAATCATCACAGGTGCTTTTAACATCAGCTGCATTTAATGTATGTGACATGTTATTCCCTATTTGAACAAACACACATATGTAAAGCAACCCACACTACACTCATTGGTCACTTTATTAGAAACACCTTGTGCGTCCACCTTAGAGACTGTAGCGTATCTGCTGGCATGTTAGCCATCCTCATCTGCTACTTCATAAGTCTACTGTCTGACCACAGAGGCACTCTGGCTGGATACTTTTTACATGATTACAGTTGGACCAACCAGAAAACCCACTACCATGTCAGTGTCACTGCTGTGGTCCATGATTTAAATAATATGTGGTCATCAGTCAACAGGGTGTCTGAAAAGCTGCAAGAAAACTATGATCTACTACTATAACTACTAAACTACTATCTATAATTATAAACATATTAGGGATGTACCAATATGAGATATTTTATTTATTTCTATAGGATTACAAATGCAGTAAAATAAAAAGGCAGACATTTTAGGATAGTAGCCTAGCATTGCCTAAACATTCTGCTCTTCTGGAGCACAATAAATACATCAAATATCAGTGTGAAGTATTGGTTAAATCTGAATATCTGTCTGATTCCAATATTTTTAAGCAATTATCTGTCGATACCGATATGATTCCGATACCATCGTGGATCCCTAAAACATAAAAGGCTGAGGCTTGTTTATACTATTGGCCAGCTTGTTGTTAACTTTTCCATTCCACCTTAAATAACGCAGTCACGCTCTGGCGGCCTGTACAAGCGTCAGAATGCAATAGCTGCACCATTTAAGGTGGAACGGAAAATTAAAAAAGAAACGAAATTTACCTGAGTAAACATAATGACCAGTAAGACTGGCGGACCTTATAGTGACCAGCGAGTGCAAATAAAAGGTAGGTGTTTGTAATTAAGATGGTGAGTGTAAATAACTGTCACAGTTGCCAGTCCTGATATTCAGCCTCCTCCTGCCCGTGACAGTGGGAGTGAAGCTTTACCCTGTTGAGGTCCTGTTTGAGAGCTGCTGCTATGTCTGCCTGGCGCTCTGTGATGAGTCTGAGTAAGGCTCTGAGCTGCTGTTTTCTGTACTGCAGGGGTCTCGACCGCCCCGAGTTGAAGGCTCCTCTGGCAACATCCACCACTTGCTTCTCCATTTTCTTTCGTTCCTGAGTACAATTTGTCATAAACAGTAGGTAAACAGCGCAGTGAGACCACAGTGAGAGACTGCGGCTCTGCTGCTGCTGAAGAAATCCGTTATTCTGAATGACTGCATTCAAATGTGAATAAAAGCCATGAGCTTAGCTCCCACTCGGTCCTGTTGTAAAACACAGAACATATGGCAAAAGTCTTGGCAAAAGTCCAATAATGTAACATACATTAAGAAGCTGGAACTTCGTTAATTTTTGTGTAGTTGCCACAAACATCAACTTGAGTTGTATTTACGGCGGACTAGCCTGTGTGCTAGCTGGGTTAAATTCGTGGTCAGGCAAAATATGCTGCATTCCGTCACGTCTCTAGTGATAAAACCCGCCGATCTTTACTTAAATTAATGAAATAAATACATAAACTTGCCTTTACCTACCTGAGACTGTGAGAAGCTGGTCTGGTGAGAGATAAGTGCTGCCACACGCCGCCTCTAGGGCGGACAGGGTCCATACAATGGAGGTATTTATCGTGTGCTGCTTTGAGGGAGGTGCATCCAGAACAAAAGCGCTCTCTCTCATTATTAAAGCACAATGAATACAAATCACAGGGGCTGCTTTTATGTAACAACTGTAATGCTTGTTAAACACAAAGTTACAAGTTATATGAGAAATGATGAATGATGGTATGTGAAAAGATTACACTGCATGTTAATTTTATTCTCTTAGACAAATACTGCCAACATTAACAGATGGTGTGAAGCTTTGAGGGCCCACATCCTAGCTACACCTTTCTGGTATTTTATTTCCTCCCCGACGTCTAATTATAATGTTCGTGTGGCTTTAGGTACTAAAAACAGTCAAAATACATTTTTTACATGATCATTTTTCAACCTGCTTTGAATTAAACAGGTTATTTTTGTTACTGTGCCTTTAAACCTAATATATGTAAATAAGCTGTGTTCTGACTGGCTGCCCTGTATTGTCCCTCAGTCAAAAACAGTCAGCGCGAGTGGGCGGGGCGAAACAGCTAGATTTAATATGTTGGTTTTTAGACATCATAAAAACTTCGAATAAAAATTCAGCACAGCCTGTTTTTTGCAGATTTGTTGCCATATATGAACTGTACGGACTGGAGAATGAGTGGTACTGAAACTTAGACAACGCTGACATACTACAACAAACTTTTATTTCAAAAAGTGAGAAGAAATCAGTTTTCCATGATAAACATTTCCATGATAAACATGTTCAATATAGTTTGCACACACCCTGCACATATCAAGCAACTGTCCATGGCCTTTCATTTGCTCAGCGCACCTGATTTTACTGCACGTTGGCCAAACTACAAGTCTACTGTGCTTTCAAAAGTGTTTGATCTAGAAGGTACATTTCCTAAAACCACAGGTTTGAGTGCCCCTGTTCAAATTATATGTGTTGTTGATTTTTAAGTGAAAATAAGCATATTTCCTCTACAGAGAACACACATCTGCGCATTTGAATGTAGTGTTACTGTTTATTTGCTGAATTGAACATATTTGGAAAAAAATAAAACATAAAATGTGGTCTGTGCAAAAGATAGGGCACATTTTATATTTTATGCTTTATCTTTAAATATGTTAAACTCAGCAAATAAATATAAATTGTGTACTAAAATATGAAGGAAAGTGCCATGTATGAAGATAAGTTAACTCATTTTTACTTTAACAGAACATGTCATTTGACAAGGGGTGTTCAAACCTTTACATATGACTGTATAATCTATTAATAATAATCCAGTTACAGTTCTGAAATAGAGAGGATAATTCTCTAAAATACACAAAAAATTATCTTTATTTACATTGTGAGGGGTATGCAGATTATCTGAGGAATATGTACAGATTATATAGATTATCTCCTGTAGTCATATCTGCATTCTTTTAATGTAGATTATTTTCCCTAAGAATACATTTCTTACACCTAGGAATAGATTTTTAGACTTTTGTCTCTCTTGTCTGTTTGTGTTGTGTGGTGTCTCGTCATGAACATCACAGGGCGTTGAGAGTGACTGTTTTTTGAGAAAGCCATTATAACGAAATCAGGACTTGTTCACATCTCAAACCTATCCCACCAGACATGGTAGCATGGCCTGTTGTAGTAGAGCTGGAGCTGCGTACTTCCATCATTGTAGAAATGGATGAAAGTGACATTGTGGAGACTATTCAGGAACCTATAAGGCCTGACTGGGAGTGACTGAGAGTGCAGGTGTCATTAGGATGCGCATTAGAGACATTATTTAGGTTTACTGAACTTAACCAGTGATTTTGTGCTCTGAACTAATCAAAGTCTCCATTATAAAAGCTGTGTTATGTAATGATGGGGAACTATATGTGTAGCCTGTCTAATTTACATTTTATGTGCAGTAAGGTATAACTGCTTTGACCAAGTCTGTGATAAGTGAGGGAGACACCTGACAGTGCTCTCGCCCCCCACCTGCGCTCGTCTTTCTTTCTCATTCAGCTCTTGAGTCTTTACACTGTAGTTAGGTCTGCGTGTTTGCTTATGTGTTTCTGTGCAAATGTGTTGATCTTTTAAGATGATTTTGCTCCATTTTAATCAATGTTTTTTGCTTTTTGTGTTCCCTGTAATCCTGAAAAAACACTTTAAAAAAATAAATCTATTAAATCTAAAATCTATTACATTTTAGAATCTGTTTTAATTTCATATCATGATCTTGTCTTTTTACTTTTTTGGGGTATACATCACTATGTATGTTTGTTTCATACATCTCTACATTTTTTTTGTAAGTGATACTGTCCTAACTACTCAAGAGTTTCCATGATTTCAAATTAATGATTAATGGTTATCTCAGATGGTTGATATTCTTCAGTTAAGGTTTAATAGACCAACAATAAAAGTGTGATAAACCTTTATCACAAGAGTTTTCAGGAGAACCATATACAGGGCTGTCAGCGTTCCTTTTCAGCTGCCTTATCGCAAGAACCTCTGCAAAGGACAAAAGACAAAAATCAGCTGACAAAACACAAGGCCACCTTTAATACAATCACTAACAAAAAACAATGCAAAACAAGAAGCAGCAATTCACTAGAAAAAAGGAATCCTCGTTACAAGCTGGCTAGTAAATAAGATGAACTGCTTCTCTGTTCTCCTCCCCAGAGGTAATTACTGTGCTGTGGGCCTGAAAGAGAAAACTAGTCATGCCTAAATAGCAATTTTCTAACTATTCAGTCTAGTGTGTCTATTTAGTTTTGGGGGAAAAGGCTTGGTCAGTGAATCTTTCACAAAAACAAAGACTTATTGAGGAGCCCTTTATGTGGCAGCTCACTCTGCAAGAAATTTCACTGAACTGATGTTTAAAAAGAACATTATCTTTGACTGATGTAGTGTCTTCTTTACTTCTTTATCAAAATTAGATGCTAAAAAAAATTTTTGGAATGTACAAATTGATTATAATCAGTTATAATAATGTTTTCATTTTTTTGTTTTTATTTTCAAACATTACAATCCAAAAACAGCTTAGTGTATTGTTTAATTATCTATATTCCACCATATTTAAGTAATAGAACACTCACAGTCATGTGTTTTCACAAATAGCATCAGCTGTGATTTGGTCATAGGCACAAGCTGAAGAGGAATACTGTAAATCATATCAAACTGGGGACCTTCTGGGCCAAAGTGCTGCGGGGATTAGCGTTTACTCTCATCTAAAGCTCTGAATTCAGTCCTTGCTAATCAGCTGATGAGCTGAATCATGTGTGTTTAATGAGGCAGTGTGCTGACTGAATGAGGACTTCAGCACACCTGGACTGGATCCTGACACGTGCTGTAGATCATCACAGCCATGATGTTATTCATTATAACACAGGACCTTGAGTGCTCTACTGCTTAAATACAGTGGAATCTAAATAACAGATAAACAAGTTAAGCAAAGAAGCCCCCAACACTGTATGAAATGTCCTTCAAAATCATCAATTGCTTCCACCACAAAAGTAGTAGCCTTTTGTGTTACAAGTTAAAAAACAGTCGCAATATCAGGTTCAGCTCAGCTTTGTAAAAATATTTGCCAATTAACCTGAATGTGGTTTTATTCCAGCTTTTAGGGGCTAAAATAGTTTCAGTAATTTGATGTAGTCCTGCTGTCACACTCTTTTTCAGAATCTGACCAAACAGGCTGGTGGTCAGGTATTACCTTACTTAAGTTGTCTAATATATCCATGTTCTGTTGTCATATATACTTAAGTAGAAATACAGTAACAGCTGCAGCGTTAAGAGAGTCATTACTTAGCAAACTGGTGCTCAGTGGAATGATAGTTATTGTGAAAAACTGATTTGTGATTAACGGCACACGTAGAACACTTCTCAAAGAGCATGTGCTGTCGGAACTAACTCTTGCAACTAAACTAAAACACTAAAATAAGAAAACTTCAAACTGAATCTTAGTAAACTGGACTATTGTTGAGGTCTCGATTATACGCCTGCTGTTTGTAATCTGATTGTAACAGGCTATCTGTTAGGAAGAATGCTGTTGAAAGAGGAAGGGAAGGAGAGAACTAATGAGGGAGGGAAGGTGGGAGGGAATGACAGAAGGAAGGAGACACATACCCGTATCACGAAAGCAGCCAGCGCTGCCAGCATCGCGGCATGTGCCAGCTGGCGCCAGCGGCCCAAGTTCACCTGCTTCAGGAGGAGCAAACGTGCCCAGCGCACTTTCTCTGCAGAGTGGGGAGGATAGCGCACCTGATTAACCCTCTCCATGCTCAGCTTTTTGAGGAGACAGCTGCGCAGATGACTCAACTGATCGAACGTGTATTTGCCATGGTAATGACCGATCCCGCTGTTACCTGTTGACAGAGGAGAATGAGTAGCAGAATGACACCTTTTTAATAAAAAGCCTTTCATTAGAGCATTTCATAGTCCCGCATACGTACCAACACCACCGAAAGGTAAGTCACTGACGGTAAAGTGAACAAGACAGTCATTGGCTAATAGTCCTCCACTGGATGTCTCTGCCATCATCTGCTTGATTACCTAGAGGACAATGCAATGGCTAATGTAGGCAAAACAGTATAGAATGATGCAGTATCAGAGCTAGTGTCAGTGTCAGAAATTAGCATAGGCTTGAGGCAAAAATGTCCCTAAAAGAAAAAAAATGTCCCTGTATGCTCTGTTACAGCACCAGTACAGAAGCAGCCTATTAAATCACAAATAAGGTTAGAAAAATGCCATTAGGTTAAAAGTGAACTGAAAAACAAATGCAGGGGGGCAAACTTCACCAATATCTGTAGTTCAATTACCTTTTTACTGGAAGAGAAAACATACAGCACCAAAGGTTTCTCTCTCTCGTTGATGAACTGGATGGCTTCATTCACTCCATTTACTGGGACGATTGGCAGTACAGGCCCAAAGATCTCCTCTTGCATCACTTTTGATTCTGGGACTACATCCTTTAAGACAGTGGGAGCTGCACAAAGAAAAAAAAAATCAGTGCTCCAACTACTAATTTCTTACTAGTTTGTTAAACGTTATTTAGTCTCAATGATTTTATTATTTTCTCTGCCTCTGCAATGAGCCGATTTACTTGTTGTCTCTTTTTACCAAAATGACCACAGACACACACACCAATGTAGCACTGGGATTCATCATTTTCTCCTCCTACAGCCACTGTGCTATCCTCAATCAGAGCCATTATCCTCTTGAAATGTCGCTGATTGATGATACGTCCATAGTCTCTGAAGGTCTTGGGGTCCTCTGTATAAAATTCCTGTCAATTTGAACACAGAAGACACAGAAAATCAAAAAAAGGAAGAAAAGAAAACGTGAAAAACAAGGAGGTACCTTTGACAACAATCACCAAAATTATTTACAAACCTTAATGCATTTTCTTATCTCCTCCACTACTTTGTTCTGGATGCTAGGTTCACAGAGGATGTAATCTGGTGCAATGCACGTCTGACCACAGTTGACATATTTCCCCCATGTAATGCGCCTGTGGACAATGGAACAACAGAATTTGAGAAAAAATAATGCAGTGTACATTTATTTTTAAACCATGTTAACTCAAACATAATACCTGCATAACGAGCGTAGACTCCTCCACATTTCATTCATGAAATTGTCACATGACAAAAATGTTCTCCCCAATTTAATTTCTGGACAAGTACACCCACTAGTTAGGTCTCTCCCATCACACAGTGCTATGAAGCCGGGAGTAGGGAGTATGAAAGTTAGCACATGCTTCCTCTGAGATGTGTGAAGCACCACAGCATATTTTCATACTGCTGGTAAAACGCAACGTCATTGGACAACTCAGCACACTTGAAGGACAACACTAGCTGCTAATTCTGTTACCTTTAACAGACACCCACACTGACTAGCATCATGCTGAGTGATAAGGGGGAGGAGAAGGACCATCCTAGAGAGGGTGAGGACAATTATGCCATTGTGAACTCCTGGCCATAAATGGCTGTGGCATCACCAGGGACAGAACTGCAGTCTCTCGATGTTCAGGCCAATGCTTTGTGCCACTAACGATACCCAGTACTGCTAAATCTGCTATTTTTGCCTCATCCTCAAGAGTTTACCTTATATTTACTACTTAGACGAAGGACAAAGTGAAAACTTGGTGAAGGACGTATCTTCCTAGGATATAAGCAAATTATCTACTATTGTCATCATATCTTCATCAGTATAATATTGATTTTGCACTAGAGACCTAAACATCGAGCTGGACCTTCTTTTTGATCTTATGCCCGTGATGTTAATGTGTTAAACTCCCACAAAATCTGACCCTACACCTCTAACTTTTAAATTATTTCAGGCTTTGCAAGGTGACTCACAGCACTTTTTTCTCCTGACTCAGTAATGCTACTTCTTGCAAAATCAACAAAAAAATCTTACATAGTGATGAGGAAATGAGGAATTACTGGCAGGTTTTATTGCTGCAAAAGAGGTCTATGTGTCCCTACCCTTCTCTCTCTCTTGTCCTGGAACCTTGATACTTCATAACACTGACTCATCTAGAAGTACTCAATCACATTGAGAGCATAATTTTAATGCAAAGGCTTGTGATCATCTCACCGACAGGCAATTTTGAGATCACAGTCCTTATCGATGTAACAGGGACTTTTTCCTCCCAGTTCCAGAGTCACTGGCGTGAGGTGGCATGCAGCAGCTTCCATAACCACTTTGCCTACTGTGCTGCTCCCCGTGTAGAAGATGTGGTCAAAACGCTGCTTCAGCAGCTCCTGCGTCTCTGGAACACCTCCGGTCACCACAGGGTACATCTCCTGAAAACATTAATGGACATTTCAGTGCAGCCAAAGCTAAGTTAAATTAGGCGACTGTAATATTCTGCTGTTGCAGTCAAAGTAACATCAGAAGGTAATGTGTTACCGGGTCCAAATAGAGAGGCAAGAGCTCCATGACCTTGGCTGTGTGAGCGCTGACCTCTGAAGGCTTTACCACTGCTGCATTACCTACACAAAAGAAGATACAAGTGTAATAAGATGAAAATACATTACTGTGTAGACTATGCACTTAATGCTTATCTGTCTACTTGACATGCAGAGGGTGAATGTCTATAACATATGCAGATTTCTAAAGTTGATGGTCTGAAAAACTTCACATCTGGGGTGGAGATAGAAGAGTTCAGAATCAGGATCACTACAAGTATGACATGTAACATACTAAACAGACCAGACAAGCACACAGACAGATATTAAAGCAATAAGTCATGAGAGGCCATGCATTATTTTATCACAGGTAAAAATCACAGTAATGCATGGTCTCAAGTGGCTTATTGCTTTTATAAAACAGCAGCCAGCATAAACTAGGATAAAATACAAGTATTCCACCAAGAAATGTTGTTCCTTTAGCGTATGGTGATGTTGCCAAGCAACCATAGACGGTTGAAAGAGGAGAAGAACGTTCAGCCGCCCATTGCTGTATGTTGCAGTCATTTCATTAACTTTTTAACCTTTTGTCGTATATCAATGAACATATGATAACACAGCAATGCTTAATGCAAACACTTTCGCTTTATAAGTACTTTTTGGTCACCAAATACCATCCAGTCTTATTTAGCACCAATCCAGTGGCGGCCCTGTTCTTGTGCTGCGGCCAAATCTCAAACGGCTCCTTGCTCCCTACATAGTTCACTACGTAGGAATTTAAACACTGGTTCCTGCACCCCAACAGTGAATAATATAGCTAAAAGATTATTCCATTAACAGCACAAGGGTTTTTCGTGCTGTGGCGCAGTAATACAGAGTTCAGTCGCTGTGAGGCAGTCATAGGTGTGCGTTTATCGTGGATTTCACAAAGGCTCTGAACACGGCTCAGCCAATCAGATTTTAGGACTGGAACTGTCCATGTTATAGTAACAAATATTAGAAAGAAAATGACAGTAACTAAGCAAAGAACAAACAATAAAAGAGCCAATGTGAAAGGAGCTAAAGAGATGAAAATGCAAATGTGTGTAAGGTCTGAAGAAATAAACTATTACTTACAGTATTTTACAGGATAATATGAACATTTGTACAGTTGTGCAAATAAGCGCTGTGGCTCCGTAAGTGAGGTTTGTAAGGAAGGTTTGTCAGTTTCAGTTCAAGTTTAAAGTGTGAGGTGTCCTCTGTGACTTGAAGCATGTGGGAACAGAGCCAAGTTCTGTGATTTGTTGAAGATGGTCTGTAAAAATTGGTGCTAATTGTTTACAGATTCAACATCTTTAGCATTAATGTTGGGCAATATGATGATATGATATTGTTATCAAGAGAAATGACATCACACTAAGCTTTTCATAGTAATCATCAATACTTCAAAGCCCTGATTAACTGCATGTGTCATTACAAAGAAGTTTAGAAAAGGCTTCCATGGTTTCCATGGGTTCCACCAACAGTCAGAGAAATGTTCTGTTAAGAGTTCTAGTTTTACTGACTTTTGCTGTCAAGAACAGTGGTGGAATAAAACGGTGCCAATTTGTTTTCAGAGCCATGAATGCTGAACTTCTCGGTGTTGAATTTCAGGCTCCTGCAGTATTATACAACAAAAAATGTAGAGAGTATATAGAGTATCCTCCTGCCTTTTTTCACCTGGCAATGTGTCTGCACAGAAAATTTTTTTTCAATGGCTGAATTTAAATGCAGCCTAAAGTTTTCTCATACTGGCAGGAGATTTCCAGTTCAAATTCTGATGATGCGGGAAGTCCATAAGAGCATTTTTAACTAAATGTAGTGCAGTCTAGTATGTGAAATGTTAAATATTATTTTTTTTTAAAAGTACTCATAGCTTTTAATAGCATTTCTTAAGTTTGTCACTGCTGGTGCATTGTGTCTGTTCTAACGTACCAAAGCTATAAGCAAATTCACTGTAATGACGTGAAAATGTCTTCAAACATCATGATGTACTTTCGCCGTACTGCCTATCACTAATTTCCATCTTTATGTGTCTGATGGGTCTGGTGTTTTATGCTTTACCAGCAGCAATAGCTCCCACAAGTGGCTGAAGGGTAACAGATATTGGATAATTCCACGCTCCAATGATGAGCACCACACCAAGAGGTTCTGGCTGAATGAACACCTCATCTGAGATGGTGAGAAGGTTTTTGGCCACAGGTCGAGGGGCTGCCCACTCTGAGAGCTTGCTGAGAGCCAGGTTGATCTCTCCCTCAAGGCCAAGGAGCTCATAAAACAGTGTTGCATTCTCACTCTACCCAAAAAAAAAAGTACACACATACAAAAGCAAACTTATAACAGGATATTTAAATTTGTTCAAATTATTAATGTAAAATGAAATAACACTAAGCCGGTGGGATTCACCTTGTTCAAGTCCCTCTTGAGAGCATCAGTGATCTCCTTCTGTCTTTCTGTGATGAACCGCTTTAGGCTTTTCAGCTGCTGAGTTCTGAAATCCAGGGGTTTAGATCTCCCTGTTAGGAATGCCTTCCTGGCCTGCTGAACCACCAACTGCTCTCGGGACATTCTTGATAGGCAGGAGTGAACCTAAGAGTATGTTTTAGCAAAGAGAGCGAAACTTGTTTTAGGCATCAGACAACTTATTTGTACCATTTTCATGTAATGTAAGGTAAGCCATAAGGTAAAGACTTCGTCTGATTTGTTTTACCACTGTTGTGAATAATTCTGACTTTTCACGATACACAATATGTCAAAATATTTTTTTCAGACATCTGATCAGCTGGAACAAAGAAAAAAGAAGCAGTAGTGCCACCTTTTAAAACATACTATCAAAAACTGTCAAAACAAAGATTTTTATTCAATATTTGTCATACTGTGTTGCTCCAAATCCAGTTGAACGAGACTAATTTTGCTCTTCATAATGAAACAGGCAGTTGGTCAGTGTTCTACAAGTACTGACGATATCCACGATAGGTTCAGAATAACATAGATATAGATAAAGATATAGAGAGATATGATATAGATACATTGTCATATTGCCCAGCCCTACATACTATACAAGATGAGTAACAGTAAAACAGCCCAAGTGCTGTCAACAACAAAACAGAATTACTGTCATTTAAAGATTAACTACTAGCCAACTACTAACTACTTAATAAACTACTAGTTACAACTACAAACCTCTGTCAGCTGCCACATCACAGCAAATAATTTTCTCGAGTAAGTTACTCTTCATTCATTGCTGAGGTCAAAACTGCGAAACACACTGTTAGTGAAGGAAACTATCTGTGGATCCGGCAGTCAGTCGTTAAAACCTGAGGACACTGTCAGCCAAAGTCAAACTCTGCCCTGCAGAGTCTTTAACATGTAACTGCAGCATCAGTGAGAGAAGCTGGGGAGTTTATGTTTGTGTTTAATAAGATACTCGACAGCAGGATGACTTAGTAAGTGACAAACCTTTACCTTAATAAACAGCAAATTAATTTATTTTAACCAAGGGCGGCGTTTTTGTTTTGCTACGTCTTCTTCACTCCTCAGCACCGGTGGAATAAAACGCAGCACAGCGCCACCTGCGGTTAACTAGTATTACAGAGGCAGCTCTGCCGATTAGGCCCGCATGCTGCTAATACAATTAGCTCCAAATATCCAAAAATCAAAGGAAAATACAAGATAAAAATGTGTGCGTTTATTTCATGTTCAGTCATCAACTTATTCATGAAAGAAAGGCTGAAAATATATATTTAACAGAAAATTACATTAATATCAAATCTATCTTAAAACCAACCAGTCCCAGCTGAGTCCTCCCAATAAAAGCTTCCAACAGGAGTCACTGACAACACGTTCCCTTTCAAACAGACACTAACACTAACACAAGTAACTACATAAAATCAACGTAACTGCCTTGCAAATGTGTCTCTCATGTGCATGTAAAACGGGAGATATTTCTAAGGAGATTAGGTATAAAACAATCCACCTGCATAAGGAAGGAGAAAGGTGAAAAAAATATGTGAAAAAACAGCAGTTTCCCAATCAGGAATCCAAAAATGACTAAAAGATATGGAGATCATAGGAGTGATACTAACCATGCAGGTCCTGCTAGACCAAAATAACTGTCACCAACACATAAACAGCACTTACAGCTTTCATCTTTGAGAGAAAGGAGAAAATCAAGCTCCACTCTTCAATCCAATCTGAAAAAATCCACAGGTGTTTCTGTCCATCCTTCCACTGAGAGAAGACAACTCAAGTTACTTAGTCGGTCCAAGCTGAAATAACGGTATGTTTGAGTTATAGCTGCTTTCTGATTTTCAGTGATCGACACGTCTTCAGTATGTAAAGTTGACTCAAACAGCCTAGTAATTATAAGTGGTTTCCACTGAGGTGGCAGTACTCTATTCTTTCGAGTTCTGCTTACTCTTGAATAAATTAGGGTAACTTTAATCAGCCTAATTAGGTCAACTTCTAATTTATTTACACCAAAAAATGCCTTAACCTCAACACAACACTTAACACAAACTTAACATTAAGCATAAGTATATACTATAACACAGAACATCATCATTGTGTGAAGAGTACAAAAGAAAAAACTGTGAAAAATAAGAGTTTATTAACAGAAACCAACGCAAGTGCTGGGAAGCTTTTTGGGTGAAAGACTCTTCAGTCTGTGGAACTTATCCAGATTAACTGACCGTTACTAGCTTTACTTAAGTAAGTAAGGCATCATACAAGAAATAGTATGTGTTACTAGATTTGAATGAGTAAGTTTAACAAATGAGTAAATCACACCAAAAAATTAAGTTAGTGCAATCGTTCTATTTCACAGTGAACACTGAAACTGAGATTTGGAGGTTTTATGGACTGACAAGTGTAAATTTGTAATTGAGATTACTTCAATCATGTGAAGCAGAAAATGCAACCAACTTCTAAGACTGAACATCAGCCTTTTTAAGAGAATGTAAGCTGCAATAAAGGCAAATTGTGAACACATCAAATACTAAAAGAATTATGTTATTTTTAGTTGCTGGTTTCTGAACGGTGGAAAACAACATTTCTAAACATGTGTTAAATACATGTTTTCTGTTTTTTCCTGATATTGAAAAAAGAAATTTGTACTCAATGTTTTGGTGTTTTAATTGGACATTAAATAATAATGAGTGGTCTTTGACTTTTTCACAGTACTGTATGTGATTGAAACATCACTCAAACAAAGATCATTATCACATTATTACATTATTACGTTATCTTTACTTTTATTTTTTAACTTTTTTTTATTTCTGATGTCTTGGTTTGGCGGCACGGTGGCGCAGTGGGTAGCGCTGTCGCCTCACAGCAAGAATGGCCTGGGTTCGATTCCCGGCCGGGCGACCAGGGTCATTTCTGTGTGGAGTTTGCATGTTCTCCCCGTGTCTGCGTGGGTACCCTCCGGGTACTCCGGTTTCCTCCCACAGTCCAAAGACATGCAGTCAGGCTGATTGGACACGCTAAATTGCCCATAGGTGTGAGTGTGTGTGTGAATGTCTATGTCTGTCTGTCTGCCCTGCGATGGACTGGCGACCTGTCCAGGGTGTATCCTGCCTTCTACCCAATGACAGCTGGGATAGGCTCCAGCACCCCACCGCGACCCAGAAGGATAAGCGGTTTAGATGATGGATGGATGGATGGATGGATGTCTTGGTTCATCAAGATCTTCAAGATAATATAATATTTATAATGTATGTTTGGGTTTCAAAACTATTAAAGTGGTTTGTAATTTAGAGCATACAATTAGAGTACATACAATTCAGATTTTTAAAATAATTTTTAAATTGCACCCAAATCTGTGAATGATACGTTAAAACAAAATTCCACCTACTAGAACATGCCTCTACACTCTTTCTCCAAGTAACCTGCAGACTTATTCTTCCAATAACCTGTACACTCTTTCTCCCAGTTACCTGCACACTCTTTCTTCCAGTAACCTGTACACTCTTTCTCCCAGTAACCTGCACACTTATTCTCCCAGTAACCTGTTCACTCTTTCTCCCAGTAACCTGCACACTTATTCTTCCAGTAACTTGTTTACTCTTTCACCCAGTAACCTGCACACTTATTCTCCCAGTAACGTGCACACTTATTCTCCCAGTAACCTGCACACTTATTCTCCCAGTAACCTGCACACTCTTTCTCCCAGCAACCTATTCACTCTTTCTCCCAGTAACTTGCATGCTTGTTCTCCCAGTAACCTGTTCACTCTTTCTCCCAGTAACCTGCATGCTTGTTCTCCCAGTAACCTGTTTACTCTTTTTCCCAGTAACCTGCACACGTATTCTCCCAGTAACCTCCACACTCCTTCTCCCTGTAACCTGTTCACACTTTCTCCCAGTAACCTGCACACTCTTTCTCCCAGTAACCTGTTCACTCTTTCTTCCAGTAACCTGCACATTTATTCTCCCAGTAACCTGTACATTTATTCTCCCAGTAACCTGCACACTTAGTCTCCAAGAACCTGCACACTTATTCTTCCAGTAACTTGTTTACTCTTTCACCCAGTAACCTGCACACTTATTCTCCCAGTAACATGCACACTCTTTCTCCCAGTAACCTATACACTTATTCTGCCAGTAAGCTGCGCACTCATTTTCCCAGTAACCTGCACACTCTTTGTCACAGTAACCTGCACACTCGTTCTCCCAGTAACGAGTAACCTGCACAGTCTTTTTCCCAGTAACCTGTTCACTCTTTCTTCCAGTAACCTGCACACTTGTTCTCCCAGTAACCTGCACATTTATTCTCCAAGAACCTGCACACTTATTCTCCCAGTAACCTGCACACTCTTTCTCCCAGTAACCTGCACACTTATTCTGCCAGTAAGCTGCGCACTCATTTTCCCAGTAACCTGCACACTCATTCTCCCAGTAACCTGCACACTCTTTCTCCCAGTAACCTGCACACTTATTCTCACAGTCACCTGTACACTTATTCTCCCAGTAACCTGCATGCTTGTTCTCCCAGTAACCTGTACACTCATTCTCCCAGTAACCTGTACACTCTTTCTCCCAGTAACCTGCACACTCTTTCTTCCAATAACCTGTACACTCGTTCTCCCAGAAACCTGCACACTCTTTCTTCCAATAACCTGTACACTCGTTCTCCCAGGAACCTGTTCACTCTTTCTCCAAGTAACCTGTACACTCGTTCTCCCAGTAACCTGCACACTTATTCTCCCAGTAACCTGCACACTCTTTCTTCCAATAACCTGTACACTCTTTCTCCCAGAAACCTGCACACTCTTTCTTCCAATAACCTGTACACTCGTTCTCCCAGGAACCTGTTCACTCTTTCTCCAAGTAACCTGTACACTCGTTCTCCCAGTAACCTGCACACTTATTCTCCCAGTAACCTGCACACTTATTCTCCCAGTAACCTGCACACTAGTTCTCCCAGTAACCTGCACACTCATTCTCCCAGTAACCTGTACACCCTTTTTTTCCACTAACCTGTACATTTCCTCTCCTAGTAACCTGCACACTATTTTTTCACAGTAACCTGTACACTTATTCCCCCAGTAACCTGCACACTCTTTCTCCCAGTTCGCCCTTTTGTTACTAAAGTAACATAATTAATAATACAAACCAATCTTTCAGTTTCAGAACAACGGAATGCCCTGAAGTGAAATGCTTATTAATGACTCTTATTTAATATTCAAATAAATTATTAAACTGAGGTAAAAAGGTTTTTTAATGGTGAGTAAATGAATTTGTAGGTGTAAATCTCAACAGCTGCTCCTTTTAGAATTCAACTCCTTAAAGGAGCTTTAAGAAAAGCTTCTCCTTTAGGAATTTTGGAAAAAGCATCAAAGCTTAACTTCTTTAGGCAGATAAACAAGAATAGTTACATGCCAGATATGACAAAGAACAAAGTGTTTGGGGAAACATTGTAGAACAAATAGCTCTAAATAATCCTATATTTGTGTGGTCAGTTCACTCAGGTCATTTTAACTAGCATTTTGATGAATTTGGCTGGGCCAGCTGGGCCTCAAGCTACAGTGGCACATGTTTAACATAGTTGAATGTTATACATATGTTATAAGACTCATTAAATGAAATTGAAATGATCAAATATAATGTAAACCATGGCCAAAGGTTCAAATGTTTACTACAGATTGTACATTTCCATCAGTGTTAGCCTGTATCATTGCAGTACCAAGCAAATACATTCTCTTGATTAAGGCTGCAGTCTTCATTGAAATTGCAGAAAGATAAAATATTCAAAAGCAAAAGTGGGTCGTAACTAGTTGTAACCAATATTTACTCAGTTAAATGTACTCAAGTAATATTTTCATGGATATGACCTGAGGAGTATTTTCCATTCAAGTTTTTCGATGTCAATTTACAATTGTTTTACTTCCACTGAAGTATATTTGTGAAGAAATGAACCTATTTTTACTGCAGTTTCATTGTAGTCACTCACATTAATTCTATTTTTGGGTGTAATTTTGTTATGTTATGTCAGTGACAGCATCTGTACTGCTTTGTGATTGATCTGATTCCCAAAGGGAATGGAAAAGCTAATTTCTCTCAATGTTTTGAAATAAAGTAAAATGTAAACATTGTCAAAGTTTCAAAATGCACCACCCAGTATCTACAGTCCATATATGAAAACAAAGCCCATTTTGAATTAATTGTTTCTGTGATGTCACAAGAACAAAACGTAATCCACCTATTCAACCTACAGCAGTTTAGCTTCGCCCACTCACAATGAAGTTATAAGAAGTGTTTCAGTACTTTCTGTGGGACAAGGGCAGGGCAGCCAATCAGAACAGAGATCATTTACATACATCAGTCTTGAAGACAGCTTAACAAAACAGCCTGTTTAATTCTAAGGGATAAAGAGAAATTTAAAAATATTCTGTGTAAAAACTAATTACATAAAACACAAATTTTTTGACCTGCTACTTCTGTACTTATACTAAAATATATTTAGTTATTTATTTTTCTGGAAAGTCTTCTATTTCTCTTTAAAAAGCTTATTTCTATTGTCATTATTTCACAGAAGTAGCAATACATTTACTTGAGGATGTATTTAGGTTACTCTACTCTATTTTCACAGTTGTTAGTTTAAAATCCACCGCCAGATGGAGCAGCTGAGCCCATCGTCTGTTTCACTGCATTTGTGAGCCGTGGCTCTGTCAGGGGTTAATACACCAAGACTCTGTGTCTCATATTCATTCATTTATCTGTTCATTTCTTAATTCATACACCGAGCTATTACAAAATATACTACCACAAATCCTCTTTTATTACCTTAAACATGCCATCCTCAGCAATGCTTTACTGGAAATTACAGTGAGACATGTTTGTCTTTCGGTTTACTTTCTTTTGATAATAATTGTGGTGATTGAATCTATTTTATTCACATGGAAACGATGTACACACTTAGTAGATTCAATCACTTTTTCGGTTTTTTAGAATGTATGTGGCTCTAATACTTTCATAATGAAAAGATTTTAGAAACAGTGGAGTCGGTCCATAGAAGCTCAGGCTAACTCTACATTGTGCTCATCATAAGGCTATCATTATTACACCCTAACTATTCATTAGAAGCCCATACATATCTATAGTAGTAACATATATTAAGATGCAGATCAGAAGAGTTTCTCTATAAGCTTTTATATACATATTTCACAGAACATATTTCCAGAAGTGGGCAGTAGATACATTTGTTTGTTTTTTTGATAGACATGTGCTTTTCAGAGCTTGTTCAAATTACAGCAGATTTATTTATCCTGATACAAAGTCTTGAGGATTATTTCTACATTTTGCTCCTTCAACACTGCTGACAAAAACAACACAGACAAGCAAGCATCTCTTGCTGGTTTATGCTGGTTTAACTGGTCACCCCAGCATGGTTATGCTGGTTGACCAGCATACCAGCATCAAAACACAACCTATGCTGGTTTTGCTGGTGACCAGTATATTAAGTTTGATTGCTGCTGACCAGCTAAAATAGATTTAATCACCACAATTATTATCCAAAGGAAGCAATCCAAAAGACAAAACGTGTTGCTGTAATCCAAAACACAACATACGCTGGTTTTGCAGGTGACCAGCCATGCTGGTCTATGCCGTTTTCTTCTAGCAAGGACATTTAATTTATTATTCCTTTTTGTGCTTAATGTCATTATGTTTTGTAATTTACATTCTGACAACACATACACTGCTTTGCACCTCACACAAGTTTTAACATTTTATTTTGAGAACCAAACGAGAAGAACATCACCAAACATACTCCAGTCTATCAGCTGTTAGATGATGGACATACTATAAAGTGCCACAGCGGGGCAGTAGGAGTTTGTTTATTTGTTTATTGTTTCTACTAGAGTTATTACTCAATTGGAATGACATGACTTTTACTTGGAAGTGATTTTAGGCTTGTTTTTACACAGTCACACAGGGACTATCCTCTGTGGCGGAGGGCGACGCACGCAGACCCGCGGATGTATACGTTATTAGGGGACGCTCATGTACTCGAGCTCTGCACTTACGTCAAGCTGAGCTGTAAACAGGAGTCAGCGGGAGATGCTGGCTCACCGATGAACAATAAAGGCATACATGGAATATTATTTCCTTTAGTTTGTGCTTTCCAAGGAAAAAGGAAGCGCTGTATACAGAAAAAAGACTCTCGCTGACCTTCTGGTGTTGAAGCACCTAAGAAGGCAAAGCGGACCGTGCAGTGCAGAAGAGCTGCATCTGTCCGTCTTTATGGATGTTCAGGATCTCCGCGCATCACCGCTCCAGCTGAGCTTCGGAACTGTGAAGGATTCTGACAGCAGTCGATGGAACGGCTGCTCATTGTGACGACACAGAGCTGCCGAACGGTTCTAATTCCGCTGGCGGTTACGAGCGAGCGTCACGTTACCGTCAGTCCTGTAACTCCGTGACCGCGCTCAGCGCCTAATAATGGTATATTTAGGCTCCGTTGTCATCCATTTTTGTTTATTTGTGACCTTTCTTTGCCAGCCCTAGCATGGGCAACACAGACACCGTGCTCCTCATCACCGTACCCGAGTCTGCTAACGGCGTTAACGTTACACCGCAGCGGCAGAGCCGGTGGAGGGGCTTGTTTCGCTGCCTGCTTTGTCCTGCCTTGATGTGGACTGACACCATGTAGCTTCGTCAGCCTGGCAGTTGAATTTGACGACTGGCTTCAAGAGAAATACGAGGCAAGCGCAGAGGGAAGAGGTTACAGCCAGCCGGCTCGCTAACTAGGTCGGAAAATGACAGCTAGGTCAGGAAACTAGCTAGCTTAGCTTACAGCGCTCACTGTGTGCAGCCCGACCTGCTGCTGCTGCAGCGGGCTAACCTAGCTGCCTTAGCGGGGTGTAAACGGACGTTAACCCTGCTTACAGTTTTATTGCAGAAGTCTAGTCAGGTCTGGTAGTATTAGCTGCTGCTGTGACACTTCTGAAGAATATTTAATTTAATACTGAAAAGCCAGACAGCACTGTAGCTTATTATTATTATTATTATTATTATTATTATACAACATTACTGTTGTTGTTATTGTTAGCATTGCTGAAGCCATAGTGGGTCTGTGTAAATGGGAGCTGTCTAGCCTTGAGGTAACGTTATCATATCTGGGATGAGCAGGTTGGCTGAGCCAGCCAGAGCTTGAAACTGCCCAGCTCTCCGTCAGAAACTGCTCTTCTGCATCACTACATCTTCTGCACTCAGTCAGCAATGGAGACCGTGGGAGACTTTGAGTACAGTCGAAAAGACCTCGTTGGACACGGAGCCTTCGCGGTTGTTTTCAAGGGAAGACATAAAAAGGTAAACGTCTCTTTCTCCCCCTCCATCCTCCTCACCGGCTCAGGCCCCTCAGGCTCTGCACTGACAGCATCACTTTGCTGGGTTTGGTGGGCTACATCTGGGTCAAGGCTTTAATTCTTTTCTTTGGGGTGGGGGGGGGCAGCATAATTTGACTTGGTTATACAACCGCATGGATTTTAGGAGCAGTCATAACGGTTATGGGTGATTGACATTTAGCATTTTTTTCATCCGTAGTATTAAGCGTCTGTGTATAACGCAGGAAAATACCAACCTTTTCCCCCAAACCCTGCTATTTATATATCCAGGGTAAAGCTTTAAGAAACCCGAGTCACTCATTCATAAAACAGCCGCCTGACGTAAGTGGGACGGTCATGTCTGCCGAGTGAGGGGAAAAAAAGCTGGGTGGAGGGTAAAGACCTCATTTGGCAGCGTTGTTTTTCATTCATTTCATTTCATTCGAAGAACTCGTTCATTTGAAGCCAATCTCTATGTGTGCCTGATTCACAGGAGAGGTAAATCAGGCCTTTCAAGTCAATCTATATAGCCTGTCAAGTCTGCAGTAGATCATGATGAATGGTGACCCAGCAGGTTTGAGGTCTTTCATGCATACTGCTGCAAATAGGGCATGTAGTTAGTGCTCCACTATATCAGCAAGTCTGCTTATTAACGAGGGCAGAAACGTTAGCATTAGTGGTGTGGATTTCATCAGACATCACATTACATGATCATATCCATCACTACACTGAACCATGAACTGTGAGCTTTTTGTATAACAAAAACATCTCTGTGAGCACAGAAATGCAGGCATACTTATTAGGGTTGCCAAGAAGGTTTAACGTAGTTGTGATTCTGTTACTGATTTGATTTTCTCAACTCTGGGAAACTTTGTGGCTGAAGCTAGAAGTTCTGTTAACAAAAATGTTTGAATTGATCTGTCAGTTGTGTGGATTAGCTGCTGTCTCACAGCAAAGAACGTAGGATCTGGCCAGTTGTACCCTCAAAGACCCTGAACTGCAGGCAGCATACGGCACTGCTGGAGTGCAGCTGGGCTCTCGGTGGTAGAGCCCACCTCTGCCCTGCAGGAGCAGCACCTTAACTGGATGTGCTTCTCAGCTCTAATTCACATCAGATTGTTGTGATGCAAACGGAGAGCACAATCACTCAGTTTATGTTGACAAGCAGGTTATTCAACAGATGCACAGTGCTGACAAGGGTGATTCTGCGTGTAAAATGGCCCAAATAGCCTATTATAAAATTAGGCAGTCATGAAAATGGCATATTGGTTTGATTCAGCCCAAAACATAATGAATCATCACACTTTAGGGAAGCATATTTGATTTTTGCTTAATTGCCTCTCATAGATAAGATGCACTGTTGGCAGTAGATACAGTACGGAGAACACGTCCCCTGCAACGGTCCCTCTATGGATCCATTTGGCTAATTATTTTGAAAACCTACAGCGTCATGTGAAGAATTGAATTTGCCTACCTATAGGTTATAGTTGGGATGCTGATGTAAGGTTCATTCAGGTCAAGAATTAGGAGAATGTCGGGGGTGTTTTTCCACTAAAGCTCATGTTAGGCTAAATGAGATCTTCCCTAGATTAGCTGATGCGTAACTGATTTGACACACGCACACAAAAAAACTCTTGTCTTTGGGATTCATCTGCTGAAAGGGGTCGCTCCCTAAGGAAAGGCTGTCCCTGTGCGGTCTTAACCATGCTTGGCTGCTCTGGCTTTCGCTGAGATGAGATGAGCTGACTGATGCTACTCTCTTGTGCGGCCTCTGCTTTGGGCCAGGGCGGAATGAGCCGCAGGAACATCTCCTATTAACCTAGATTTATGTGAACGTGCCCCTCTATTCATAGATTTCCACTCAACTTTCCACTTGGTCATATGGTTTCTTAAAGCTGTTTCTACCTGGGCTAAATGTCTCTCGAAATGGGTAAAATCTCTCAGTCATACTGAGTTTTATGCACTAATGCCAAGACACGTTTACAATTCCTAATCAGAGTATGTCTCAGAAATTCTTTCAGCATTGTTAAGTTGAGGCAGCTGTCAGTGTTGTTACCCAGAGAGCTTCGTGAGAAATAATGACTAGCTTGTATTGATGAAAAAAATTTAAAAAAAAATCTTGTTTTGTTCATTGACATTTGATCATGTCCTTTTTTCTGTTATTAGAAGACAGACTGGGAGGTTGCGATCAAGAGCATTAACAAAAAGAACCTCTCCAAATCCCAAATTCTGCTTGGGAAGGAAATAAAAATTTTGAAGGTGAGTTTGCTGCTGATTGAATATATACAAGCTGAATATTCCTAAACTGTGTGGTTTATCATGGGCTGTTTTTGAAATCTAACTGTATCTGATCAGGTTCTTTAGATAGTCCTGAAGAACATCTGTTTTTTTTTTCTTTTTCTTCTCTCTAGGAACTGCAGCATGAGAACATTGTAGCGCTCTATGATGTCCAGGTAAGCTTGAGTCAGCTGTGGAGCTGTTAAGCTGTTAGTCCAAACATCAGCATGACGTTCATGCACTTCTGTGTAGCTGGACCGAAGGTGGCTGCCAAGTTCCAAAATGCCTCTTTTGTTTGCTGAACGTTCTCTCTCATCACCGATTTTGAATAATGATGTCAATAGATTGTGTTTGTCGTGTATATCCATTAACTAGCATGTGAGGGGTCAGCTTTGCTGTTACGCTAGACTGTTTCTCACATGATCCAGCAGAAGCTGACTGTAAATTCCACTGTTCCACTGTGTTTTTAGACAGATGCTGCATGCTATTATTTACTGGTATTAATATTTTGAAGTTTGTATTATAAGGATTGTGTTTCTTTCAGTATTACTGGATTGAAAAGATGATGCTACAAACTGTCAATAGGAAAAGAATGCTCATCTATATTTTTGCTCAGACTGGCGAATGCTATTACTGTAAGGAAGGAAATAAGATTATATAGTACAAATTTGTTGGCAAATGGCAGAAGTCAGCCAATTCCATTAGTTAAGTCAATTTAGTCTCTTCAGTAGTCTGACTGCCTTTCTCTCTGAGTTGCTGACTGTGGTATGGTGTAGGCTGGATATGTGTTGCTCCACTGGCTGTAAGCCTCAGCTGATAACTGTGGATGAATGAGAGAGGATTCTGAGAGGCAGCCCAGCCTTTAATGGCTCAAAGCGTGGGCTTAATTGTTCTCATCTTGATTCAGTAGACAGTTCTTCTTTTTTATGCTTTGAGGAGAAAACAGGCCCTTAGTTCTGTGCACTAGTAAGTGGAGTGTTGTTGAGTAGCTCATATACGTACCCATACACATATATACATAACCCTCTTCCCACATAATGCACTTCCTGCCCTTATGTAACACTCCCACCTCAGACCTGCAATGCCGAGAGGGCCCCTTAAGCTAGGGCTTTCATCCTTTAACTCAGCCAGCTTCAGTGAATCTGTCCTTCTACCCCTCCATCACAGCCTAGCCACAGCATGTTGTGATGGAAATGGAGTCTTTGTGGCACCTTTATTGTAATGCATCTCTGTTCCAGAGAAAACCTCCTTCCCCATGTAGCCTGTCTTATTCAATACTGAGGACACGTCATAAAAAACATGCTTTTACATTGGCAGGAGAAGTAATCTGGCTGTGTTGTGGCTGTGATGTGCTATTTATGTAAACCAGGCTGGTTTAGTGTGATTCTTCTGCATTTAAATAAATAAGCAGGCGACTGCAATGGCGTGCAGCAGCACATCATCTGTTCGTGGTGATACCACGTGCTGTGTCACTCAGCTGAGGAGCCATAAATACACATGCTTGTGCAACTGCTAGATCTGTTTGCTATTAAAAGAACAGCGTGTGGGCTTTTTCTGTGTAAATAATTAGCATGAATTGCTAAAATCATGCCATAGATTGGTTGTAAACTAGGGGTGGGAATCTCTAGGCATCTCACAATTCGATTCGATTACGATTCAGAGGGCTGCGATGCGATTATAAAACGATTAATGATGCATCTCGATGCATCTTTTTTTCTATACCTGATTTCTATTTTCTTACTGTCTGAGGACTTTGTAGTTTTAAAGCAAAGTATTTGTAATGATCCATAATGCATTTATGTCCAATATCTTTTTTTTAATAAAACAAATGGAAGTGATGTGGCAAGTGAACTAGAAGGCTCTCATTCACTGCTCTTGTTTGGAGACGCTGCTGCCACTCATCTGTGATAAAATGCGCAGTTACAGTGAAATAAGATCCAGTGGTAATAGACGTCCACGCAGCACGTTATAGCCGTCCTGCCCATTTTCTTTAGTGATTTTATAACTTCGGTTTTGGTCTCGTGATAGGGAGGGGGTGCGCGAAAGCCCTGTTTCGCAATGACTGAGAACTTGCGTGCAGACTGCAGGTCACATAGCAACGAGGTTTCGCCTGGCTAGTAGCGGAAAAGAGGAAAAGGAAAAGAGAAAGACAGACGCACATTTGGAGATGAATGGACTTATTCGCATTTATAAGCAGCGCAGTTGGTTTCCTGGTTCGTTAAATCTGCAACGAGAGACTGTCACACACTAAAATGCTGCGAAGATGAAGTCGCTTCTCTTTCTAATTCTCCCGTTCCACCTTAAATGGTGCTGCATTTACATTCAGAACCTCAGTCAGAATGTAAGGTGGAACGGGAAAGTTCAGCAAGAAGCTGGCGAGTGAGAAGCGATTTCAGCCTCGTAAAACAGTCGAACGCTGAGAGACATTTTACAAGAAACTGCTCTAGTTTTGAGGAAAAGTTTTCTGGCGGAGATGGGAGGAAAGTGGCTGTAGCTGAAGCTTAAAGCAGAGCAAAGTAAATCTGCGCTCGCGTTTATATTGTTTAGCCTATACTAGCACATTATCACATACTGGACATTAAATGTTGCGGCTCCCAAGGTTGTTTGATTTTTGCTGAAAGGACAAAATGGCTCTTCTTATCATTTGGGTTGTGACTCTTGACCTAACCTGGCTTTAATGCAGAGGGGGCCGGTCGGATTTCTCACTCATCCAGTGGTGTTTTTGTTATGTTCACGTCACAGACTGTCCGGGTGCTGCACTTACCCATTTCCAAGTTCCGCCCTTTGCGTTCCGTCAACGTTACGTTATAAATTAAATATTTAGAAAATCGATTTTTGACATTTGTGAATCGATTCAGAATCGTTCACGTCTGCATCGTGATGCATCTAAGAATCGATTTTTTCCCACACCCCTATTGTAAACTATAAATAAAAGGTACGAATTGATATATATATATATATATATATATATATATATATATATATGTATATATATATATATATGTACACACACACACACACACGCATATATATATATATATATATATATATATGAAAGACACTTTTGATTTATGTGCATATTATATAGAGATGCATGGGTCAGGAATTATTATGGACAATTCCAATTTCAGTTTTTTTTTTTTTTAAACCTAAACCTCACACTCTGTTGGCTAAATGTGCACGACACACACTAGCACGTTTCTGAGACTTCCCATTAGCCAAAAATGCTAAATAAATAACATTATTTGCTCCTTAAAAGGCCAAACTGGCACTTTCGATTAAAAAAATAGGTTGCCTATTTAAATAACATGAAGCAAGTGCTGCACTGAAAGCACCATCTGGCTGTTTAGCACAATGAGTTTTATGACATTTTGGTATAGTTATTGAGGGTCCACCAATTTTTTTTGCGGCCAATTTTACTGCCAAAGTGACCAATGGCTGATTTTTATTTTATTTTTTTACCTGAAGCTCACTCTATATGCACTATTGTACTAAAGTAACAATATAAATCATTCAGTATTAACTGAATGAATCATAGTAGTTACTGAATAATGATTCTTAAGATTTGTAATTAAATAAGCCTAGATTTCAGAGAGGTTAAGCCTGAATCACTGACACATTGATGACTGTCAAAAGCAGGTGGACCATATGTAACCATACGCACCAGGAAAACAGTAGCTGTTTCCTCTGATAGAGCACTATAGCACATAGGCACGTGACCTTTCTTTGTTACAGCTTTCCTCTGAGCCACAGTTATACCACCCTGGACAGTTTATGGCCTCCTGTCACTGGGAAACGTTAGCATGATTGACTTTTCGTCTCTTGCCTGAGCTGCCTTATTAAAGATTGCTAAGTGGTAAGGTTTGCCCTTTAGCGTCTCCACCTCACTGTGAGGTTGGCTTTAGATCCCACTATGGGCTTCATTAATGTGAGCCATTTAAAGCGCGAGTCCCACGCCACCTCACTGAGCAGCTCCAGAACCACTGATACCATCTCGTTTCTCTGATGACAAAGTGTGAACGAAAGCTAGCTTGTATTTATGCTAACGCCAAGAAGTGTTAGCAGTGCAGCTGTAGCCCAGACACTAAGTGCCTACCCATTCAGTCTGGAGATTTTAGAGCTAATAGTACCTTTCTCTGTACATTTTTTTTTCTGAATGGGGCTGTGCTTTGGAGGTGTCTGCTCAGCAGTTTTAATTACAGGTCTTTGCTGAGAGCTGTATGGCTCCTGTCGAAGTTCTTCACAGTCTGGGGGGGGTTTGGAGCTGTGTAATAACAGGGTGGCGACTGCCTCTCTTCTGCCTGCATCTGCCTCTAATGGAGCAGTTAAAATGTTCAGATGTATTTTTGTGTCTTAAGACAATGTGTAAGGACAGAATGATAGTCTCATCGGTACAGTATAGTCAAAGAGGTAATAGGAATTAGCTGAGGAGTTTGTAGGTTCAAATCCCAGGACTGACTGTGTATACCCGGTATAGTTTTTGCACCTTAGGCAAAACATTTATCCCCAGTTGCCCCAGGCTGCTCTACTGGTGACACTTCTGCTCCCGGATTGGGCATAGTTAAGCAGCAAAATGACAAAATTCCCCTTGTAGGATCAATAAAGTATATAACATAACAGCTCCCAGCCATGTTAAAAACGACTTTAATGCTGGTTTCACGCAAACAATATAACATAACGTGATATTCTATACTAAATACAACATTTACTGTACCTGGCATAGATGAGATGTTCAGAAATTCCATATGTTGAGCTGTGCTGGTTGAATGCTGCCATGGAGGAGGCTGTGTGCCATTGTGGCCCACATATATCATGCCTGAACAAAAGGCAGCTTGTGTTACAGGGTGTACAGTTCAGCTTCGAGGAAAACACCATAATGTCTCAACTCTCATACAGATGGCTTTGGGCAAAATGCACCAGGATAATCGACCACAGACAAAACAGCTTCAGACAATAAAATGTTGTGGGACATTTACAATTCATTCTTTATTACTAGAATAATAGCAGTATTTTATCAAATGAAAGATGACAATACAGTATAATCACTCAGTATAATAATTTGCTTTTATTATTTTATTAATATTTGACAAGATTAAGCTTCAAATGACATGCTGTCCGTGTTTACGCCCACGTCTGATTCAATGTTAGGGACTGTCTCAGATTTACCAGGAAAAAGTGTGTAAAAGCTTTGGTGAAATGTAAATCAAAGGTAGAACTAAGCCCCAGTTTAAATGCTTACTGAGGTTATTTTCCACACAATTATCCGTATAAGAGGATTCTGTTACTGGCACAGGCCTACATTTTTACATTTTAATAAAGCCTGAGAATTTTTGGCCAACAAATGAGCCCATACTTTATTGAATATAATTAGAATTTAATCTAATCAGTTCTAAAATCAGTGCAAGGGAATTGTCATTTTAAGATTAACACATGCATTTTTTAGTCTAGCAAGGAAGCTTAAAGTGCAGGGGGGATTTGCAAAGTTTGCTTATTGTGAAGTTGAAGAGTCACACGTGTTCTTTCAGGCTCACCGAAACAGAACCTGAACTTCCTGTTGTAGAACGGAGTGTCTTCAGCTCTGAGGGGTTTGTGTTGTTCTTTTCTCTCCAGTTCTTGGAAGAGAGTGGGAGGGGCTTAGACATGGAAACAAGCTGTGAAAATCAGGAGTGGGCCGTTAGAAGGGGGCCGGGGGAGCTGAAGCTTTTCAGGAACTTTCACTGGTTTTCCTAGAGAGCTGCTTGTTGGCTCACGTTCCAGCACATGCTATGGTGTAAACCCGGAGGAATTCACTCGCTCTCTTGAGCCCTCCTAAAACTGAATGCACAGCATAGTTAACGCTCAGGCTGATGACTATCAAGGTGTGCCGTCTGTGCGTGATCATAACTACAGGCTGAGATCACAAGTGTTTTTGTTTATCATATGTTTCCTTCCCTGGAGGTGCTTAAAAAGTGTAGGCTGTGTTTATTTACTGGCTCCATGTGGGCAGAAGAGAAGAAAGCCTGGAGTTTGATATCTGTATGTTTAAAAATGCACGTAAGTTTATGTGTGTACAGTTGTGAGGGATGTTCTCACAGCTGACAAAGAGATCTAATCTAGTTCTAGCACTTTTTGTGCCCTTCCACAGTGTCTACTGGTGTTGTTCCCCTTACCAACCAGTTCTGTGTCTGCATCCACACAGTCCGAGCTCAAAGGTTTCTCAGTTTTATGACATGATGTTCTGAAAACATCGTCACAGTCATTTACGTCCTCGCTGTCAACAACATACCGATGAAACAGCATTCCATTGTCTGAGGAAGCCCCCAAGTTTGTTTTCCCATGTAAAGCACTTTTCAGGGAATGGTTACAATTACCAAGTACTGCTGTTGCATGTTGGTCAGCGACATATGTTTTAAAAGGCTCAGGAAATTTAAAACCCTGTGTGTCTCATATGATTTCCATGTCTTATGTAACACAGGGTTCATTGAGTTACAGTCCAAGAGTGTGCAAAGAAAATGCTACATTTGCGGGTGTTATGTCATGCGGGTATTATCAGCAGTTCTAGAAGTTGTTGGCTGTGCGTGCGTGTGTGTGTGTGTATGTGTGTGTAGCTATGCACTTTGGTAATCCTGTGTGTGTGCAGCACTGTACAAAAATCAGACCACCTTTGATTTATTTAATTTCAGGTCAAAACGGCCATTAAGTACAAGTTATTTATTTTTCAGCATTAGAAAAAAGCAGAGAACATTTCACAAGAAATTTAATTACACAGAAATTTATTTACACTGCAGCCTCAAAACTAAATATAATATATTTTTACAAGATTCAGTGTGTCCACACTGTGCCTTTATTATAGCTTCCATTCTTTTTGGCAGACTTGCTTTCAGTTTTTTAAAGAAATCTACAGGGATGTTTTCGCATTGGTTGCATTTTTTACTTCTCATCAAGTAATCCCAAATACATTCAGTGGGGTGGTCAGTCCATTGTTCTGAGAACAGCACCAGCTTCTTTGTTCAACTTGCAGATTTTCTTGTTTATTTGATCTTTCAGTAATGGATTCTTGACAGCTATGTATTCTTTCAGACCCACAGCACTGAGTTGTCCTCTCACAGTGGAAGGATTGTTTTACACCTGAAGTAAGAATGAAGCTTGATTTTTTTTTTTTTCCTGTCTCTCAAAAATTAAAGCTTTAAGTACTGTTTATTTGATGGTGAGTTTTGGTTTTCTAACAGGCCTTGCACAGTTGGTAGGAGTTCCATTTTCTCTGTATCTTTTTAATAAATGGTTATCTGTTTTTATCTAATCGCCTTACAAATATCCCAAAAAGCATACCTTGTACTTAATGGACATTTTGACTAGCAATTAAGTAAATGAAGGCTGACTTTTGCATAGTACTGTATGCGTGTCAGTATGACTTGCTTGACCTTTCCACAGTTATTAATAATTAATAATACATTTTTTGGTCTTTGCTTACCTAATAAGAACTAGGTTTAGGCAGAAGGCATTCAGGCACACAGCTAGACATGAAGTCAGCTGGAGTGAAGTAGTCAGTCTGAAGAACATTAATTAAATAAGGTGCAGAAGATGAAATTGACCTCTGTGCAGCTGAGAAATTAAAGGTTTGTGTGTTTTTAAAAGGTTAATTGCTGAAGGGAATTGTAAACATGTTTAATAAAGGATTAAATATTATTTGAGACTCTTTTGTAATTATGTGAAGCAAGTATTGAAGTCCAAAACTGGACTGGTCTTATGAAAAGTACAGACTCGAGGAAGATGTTCTGTTTCTTTCCACCACAGGTCTAAATGTTATCTGTTGTTTATGTCCAGGTCCAGCATGTTCTGTGGCGTGATATCTGATCTGGTTTGTGTGTACATTATATGAACGTCCTTGTTTTTGTACCGTGGTGCTTATATAATTAAAGATTTTACAGCTACTGGTTTAAATCCTTGTCATACATCATTTGTTAGGCAAGAGACCGAGTGTGGCCTCTCGCCAAAACAAACAGAACAAAATCTGATGGCGGGGAGATCAGGGCAGCACTGTTGTGTGTGTGGACAACATATGCTTCCGGACTTAGTGCTGGTTGTTTTGATTTTTTCCAGCCCACTCTTGGTCAACAGGTCTGCTCAGTCGGGTTTAATCTTAGAAGCATGTGTTTCTGTGACATCTGAAGGTATTTGGCAGACAGGCTGAGTGAGGAGGCCAGAATGTGTTAGTTACATATTTAGCGACATCCTGAAAAAAATCCATATCCTGAGCTGATGGGGGGTAGACCAGTATCCCTTAGGGATACACAATGTATCTGTAGCTGATATATTATTTTCAGGCAGACAGGAAAACTTGGGGCATCATTGGGCAGGACTTCTAATGGTACATTCCCCTAATGTTGTTAGTGGCTGTGAATAAGAGTGACTAATTAATTATGTAAAATATTTACATAAATGAATATACATTTTACAATAATTGTCTTGTCTGATTTATCTGTGTCATGACTCTGTAAAATTAAACTGCAAACTGCACTTCATGAATGGATACATAAATGAGCATAGAAATTTAAGAAATTTCAAAACTGTCATTCTCAGCAAGATGTTAAATACCAGTTACTGTTGTTGGTCCAAGAATTCTGTATTGATGCTTTCCTAGTATTCCTGTTCTTCTTTTCTCCTATCCCGCAGTTCCACTTCCAGCTGACATGCAAACAGCATTTTACGTAATCACTCTGATGGGCTGAGTCGACAGTCATCCAGTAGTTATCCCATGACCACCCTCCCCCACCTCCCAGAGGCAGCGCTGATCCCATCCCATTACAGGATTCTTAGCAAAACTGGAGCGAAGCTCAGCCTCAACCTCAGTTTAAGGTGTACATTTGGTTGAGACTCCAGAGCTGGGACTGTCTGAGCAGTCATTAGCAGAGAATAATGGTGGTTTGTCCATGTGCAACTGAAATGAACAGTGAGTTCTGAAGGCACAGCTGACATTCCAACCAGGCCGAATGAAGAGTCTTGAGTTCAGCTTTAGGTATATAAAGTCTGTTGAGAAAATGGACCTGTATGAGGCAGTTAATGGGATTTGTGCGGAGAAACTAGAACCAGCATGGCAGCTGGAACACACTGTTTCCTGTAAATTCAATCACAGTGCACAAAATGGCCACACTTTCCTTTTTAATGGACCAGTCCAGCATCTGAACAGTATTTCACACAGCCACTAAGCACTAGCCATTAAGAAGAAGAAAAGAGTTGTAGACTTGATTGTCTTTAGAGGAAATGTATTAAAGCAATAAGCCATGAAATTATTTTTACAAAATAATGTAAAAGAATTCACAAATATTCCATAAATTGTGTAATATTATTATAGTTTGTTACCAGTAGGCTATGGTTACCAAGCAGCATGATGGTGAAAGGTTATTTCTTGAGCACCCCAATGTTTTTTTAATAACTTGGCTCATTAATACAGACATCAGATGATGTGTGCAGTCATGTACGGTATTGTGCAAAAGCCAGAGACATAACAGCTGTTTTGACTGTTAATTAAAATCTCTGATCTCTGACTTTTGCACTTTACTATTTGTGTATTTCAGGTATTTTACGACAGCTTTGATTTTAGAACTAGTACTGATTTTCCCTCTTGCTGTCATACCTAACTTCTTCTGTACATATTCAAATTCATATCCATGCCTGTCTGTTTGACATTTGAGCTATAATAGTGCCCAGAGGGTCTGTGCTGATCAACACATGCAAACCTATAACAGGCTATGGAGAGAATGTGTCTGAGGGCCTTGCATATTAATGTGCTTGTGATCTTTTGATGGCTACTTGATCATACTGTGTAATTTTGGCCCTTGGCAAAACTTCACATCTCAGGTCATATGACAAGTAAGGACAGAAACATTTATAGTGCGTTTATGGCAGTAAAATTGTTATTGTTAATTGTTGCCTAGTTCCTCCACTCCCTTCCATGTGGCACTGAATGTGCCTTGGCAAAGGTAAATGATTTGTCATTTGAAAACAAGCGGTGTGAAGAACTGTCTTCTCTTTTCTTCTAGGAAACGCCAAATTTTGTGTTTCTGGTAATGGAGGTGAGTACACTGTGTGTCATCATCACTCTCCAGCTCTCTCTCCCTTTTTCTTTCTTCGTTCCTCATGTCCTTGATGTCCATATATGGCAGAATCACATGACCCAGTCTGCTGTGGCTCTGTCTGGTGTTGCTCAACACTAGAGTGGCTGAAGGAAAAACAAACTGACCACCTTAAGTGTCCAAACTAAAAATATCGATTCAGAGAAGCCTACTCAGAAAAACAGTTTCATCTGCTTTTATATCAGCTCTATCTTTAGCATGTAACATAATTCTGACACTTCATGTGTCCCAGATGATAAGATAAGTAAGTGGCCACCTGATTCTTGTTTATGGAAACTGTCAGCATGACCAGAGAGTTTTCTTTGTTGTTTAAGTGATCAGGCAGGTGGTTGCTGTTAGATGTGTACTTGGAAATCAGTAAGTAATCAGCAACTTTATAGAAAGAATACAGAACAATGACAGCACTCATAGTTTTCACCAAAACCTATTGAATAACTGTTTAATTATCCAAGATTTATCAGACTACAGTTAACCCAGTCCATTACAGTCTTGTCAAACAAAGACCCTTAAGAACAGCCTGATCAGCACGGATTATTTAAGTAGCTCCTATCAAAGGTCCTTATTTGAAACCTTTGGCAGTGTAGAATACAGTACATTTGCTATAGTGAGTGTGCAGTGTGCTGATCCTTTTCGCTCTCTCTACCCTTTTCCTGTTGTAAGGAGATTAACTGCCCCTGAATGGAAGCTGTGCAGCTATAATACTACATCACTGTATCAGATTAATTGAAGAGCTTATTGTTATCTCTGCTTTATGTTGCCCAGCATAACACATTGCCTTGTTCTCCAGCCCTTCATATTTCCAAAGCTGATCTTGCTGTCATATCAAGACCTTACATTTTTAAAATATTCTCACACCATTTGAAAACACTTGCATTATGTGAACTTTTTATGATGAATAATACAAATGGTCCAAAATCAGGATACATTAACATACATTGAAGTAATGAAGGTTGTTTTATTTGGTTTTCAGGGTTTATACCAATACTATAGAACACTGAACAATTGCATGCAAAGAAAGCATAATCAGTCCTGCGTAACTGGATTTAGTGCAGTGCAGTTTGGAAAATGTTGAATAAAAATCATTATACTCATAGTTTTATAGAATTTTTATTCTTTTGTCTGTTCAGATTTATCAAACCCCAGAAAATGTACCATATATCGTGATGCCATATTCATGATGACATATTCTTGCCATATTACCTACCCTGTTAAATTCATTTTTTTGGTGTGTGTCCTGTTGCAGTATTGCAATGGAGGGGATCTTGCAGACTATTTACAAGGTAAGCTCTTAATAAAACATTACACTGAGTGTGGTACACAATGTTTTGCAGTACAACCTCAGGACTGATAAAGAGTATAATAAATATGATGTGTGATATAATAGTGAACATGCAGGTCTGTGGCTTGATTCCAGAGCACTAGTTTGTTTTAAACCCAAGCATCCAATACCAAAGGTCACTCACCTTTGCTGACAGCTGTTTATATTATGATGTATATTTACAGCTTATTGTGCTGTATTCAGGTATCAGATACTAATTGGCTTGTTTGATCTGCTTTAATTAGGCCAAATTACTTATTACTTACAAATTACTCATTCCTTAGCCATCAGGGTGATGTTCAGGTTGTGGTTTTGTACAGTTTTTTTGATGACGTATGCTTTGGTTGAATTACTTGAATTAGGCCATATCATTCCACATGATCAGAGTGACATTCACAGCTTATCTACCAGCAAGTTTTGTGTAGTTTGTTTTTGAAGATGTGCACATTGGCTTTTTGTGGAATATTCAAGCAGCAGCTGTTAGAGTTTATTGATCCAGTGCTTATCTTTGTTTACATAGAGATATATTGATAATGGTGCTCTGGTGTTCTCTGTGAGGGGATGTGATTGGTCTGTTTACATCATGAAATGTGTCAGGATGACTTTTTGAATGCTGTATTTGGATGACTCAGGTGTCCTCTCCAAGCTCCTGATGAGTGTACATGAGTGTGCATGGGTGGAGGAGTGTGGAGACTGAACTCTGAGCCCGTTGTTCTGTGTGATTGAAGTTGCTATCAGTACGTAACAGTTTTGTGCAGGTAGATGCTCCCACGTCAGATGGCATGGTGCATTATGTGTCAGTCTCTCAACTCCCCTACTCACAAATTATGCAACTGTTCCTCAGTTATACAATTCCACTCTATCTGACGTGTATCGCAGAGATTTGTTCATGCCAAGCACTCGTGAAGCCAGTGTTTAGGGATTCTTATTAGATCCGTTGTGATCAGATTTGCTTTGTTTACTGAGTAGATTGGGCAAATGGAATCCTCTTAACAGCTCTGTGGATTAGTGGTGTTTTGTTGTAACAGGGGACCAAGAGCCAGAGCAGTGTCACTCTATGTAATACCCCTCAGCTACTTCTGATTTTGAAATTCATACCGATCACAGGGTCCCTGCAGATCACAGGACAGTGTTATATTTTATAGTAATCTTGATTTTGCTGGAATGTGGCGTAACTCAGCTCAGCTAATGTATTTTGTGCACCAAATGAATCATCATAATCTTGATATATCAGCCTAGTTGTTAATGGACATCAAATGTCAGGGGACATCCGCTTTGTGGCACGATTGACTGTAGCTGTGGTGCACATGCATCTGGTGGATCTGAGCAAGGGAACGTAGGTATTGTAGTCTGTACACTGTCAGAAAAATGGGTACTGCACAATTTTTTTCAAACAATGCAAATGTACTAGAGGTCGACAGATATTTTTTTCAGGGCCGATATCGCTACCGATTATTGGTTATCAAAGACACTGATAACCGATATTTGGGGCTGATATTCATTTCCCATAAATTTGATGTTCGTAGTATGAAAATTTACAACAATGCAGTTCTTACTCACAATTTACATTAAATGAACATAATGTTTAATATTAGAACATTATAAAAAATAAAGTTCTTTGAGCTTTAAACAGTATAAAAATTGCAAAAGAGATTTTTTAAATAGATAAAAACGAATTAACTTAAATAACTTTCTTAAAATAACAAAAATAGCTTCCCAAATCACAGCAGGAATAAGAGTTTACTTTTTGTAATGGCTGCCACCATGCTCACAACTTTCTTTACATGCGTATTGCACACTGCCTTTGCTGTTGATGGTTGGCTGTAATAGTCCCTTGCTGCACTTTTAAGTTTTTTTGTGCATCCATCTGCATTGACAGGGTTTTAAGGTAGAGTTAAAAGAGGATTAGGAATGTTAGCAAGTTCGCATTCTGTGTTACTTTGTGAAAATACACATTTAAATTACATGCTTTGGCTTTAAATTCAATACATTTTAATTTTGTTTATTTTTAATTTTTTTCATAATGAATGTTAATGTGTAAAGACAGACTACAGAAGTGTTTTTATCGTGGTTGCATCAGATATGTGCATACATAACAAAAAAAAAACACTTATAGGCAAGGAAACAAGTTCAAGTGCCAATTCTGATTATCAGAAAAGTGCTGAATATCGGCTCCAGTTATTGGTTGGGCTGATAATTGGACAACGCGGTCCTTAAGGTCAGATTGTTAGTTTTAAAGGTACACCACATTCACTTATTTGTAAGGTGAAGGGAGCATATTTGTACTTTTATAATTTCACTGATTTAAAGGAAAAAATAAAACAAAAAGATGGGAGTCAAGGCAGGACTTAATAACAGTGTCAATCAAATTTTTTGTAATGTTACATTATTTTTTATTACTAAACTACTCCAAAAATTCATTTGAAAAGGAACATAAGAACTTTATAAATTACATATAGTATAAAAAGATGTTCTTTTTAGGTTTAGGGTGTGGGATACCTTTCTGGAAGGCCAAAACAAACATCCTCAACACACGGGCCAACACTTGCAACAGAATATGATACATATGTGGTTATGGAATATATATCCTTCTAAAGATACTGACGTTCCCTTGAGTGTTTCCCCCCAGTGACAAACTTTGACTTTGTATCCAAAAAAGTACAGTTTAGTACTGGGAGAGTACAGTTTTTTATGTTAGAGGATAAACTGTTCAGTGAGTTTCTGTGAGTTTTTCTCAGTAGTATTATATCTACTCTGTTCTAGCCAAGGGTACCCTGCGAGAGGACACCCTGAGGGTCTTTTTGCAGCAGATAGCTGCAGCCATGCGCATCCTAAACAGCAAGGGAATCATTCACCGGGACCTCAAACCCCAGAACATCCTCCTGTCCTACACTGGCCGCAAGAAATCCAGCATCAATGGCATCCGTATTAAAATTGGTAATTGAATATGTGTAATGAACACTGTCAGCAACACTGTGTATGTATAGCTAGGCTGTAATAATAGCTCACACACGTTACATAGGGTAGTCACATGAGGGGAAAGCCCTTTTATCTTCCAAACCTACAGGACTATTTGTTGTCATTGTGCTATTTCTGGGTATGCAGCCTTTCAGTTGTCTCCATGGTCCCACTCAGTGCCGCAGGCTTAAGTCAGACAATAAAAGCAAGTTGCTAATAATAACACAGACATACTGATGGGAGCTTTCTGTGTTCTACAGCTGACTTTGGCTTCGCACGATATCTTCAGAGTAACATGATGGCAGCTACGCTGTGTGGATCGCCTATGTACATGGTAAATGCCCAGATGTGTCTAAGCAGACTTTACTGCTGCCTGTCCAAACTTTGACAAGTTGCTTGTATAGACTGTTTAGTTATATCTCATAAACTGCCTCCTCTCCCTTCCAGGCTCCAGAAGTGATAATGTCCCAGAACTATGATGCCAAAGCAGACCTGTGGAGCATTGGGACTGTTATTTATCAGTGCCTCGTTGGGAAGCCACCCTTTCAGGTCAGTCTATTTAAAGGTGGCTGTCAGCCTGTTGTGCTCTCTTAGTAAGCAGAAACAGGACTGCATTGTCTTTCGTAATAGCATTAGGAATGCCCACAGCATTTTTATTTTCTTGTATCAATTAATATTTTAGGAAAAGTGAAGGAAGTGGTGAATTAAAGATTGAGCCTAGTGCAGCAGCCAGCTACCCTGTTAATCATCATTAGCTATTTTTGTAGAAATAGTAGCCTATTTCAACTAAAAAGGTTTTTTTTCCCTTTAGAGTTTACTGCTGTTAAGTTGAGTTTTGTATTGTTGTGGAAGTATGTGTTATGTTCTTTGTCCTCTCCACAGGCAAACAGCCCGCAAGACCTGAGGATGTTCTATGAGAAAAACAAGACTCTGGTGCCAAAGTAAGAATAAACATTAATCACAGTGCTGTTGATGGTGGAGATGTGACTCATGAAACTCAAAGCTGTACTGAAACATGGCCTCTATTGACCTTACAACTAAAGAGTGCTTCCTTCCTGCTCTCAGCATCCCAAGGGAGACATCTCCTCAGCTTGCAGATCTGCTGCTGGGCCTACTGCAGAGGAACCAGAAGGACCGAATGGATTTTGGTCAGTAAAGCTTCCGTTTGGGGGCCTGACAGGTTATGATGAATGCTGTGTTTTTCAAGGTCATTAACTTGGATGAACCCTACATTATTCACTGTCTCTTTTTACTTCTCACAGATACATTCTTCAGCCATCCCTTCCTGGAGCAATCATCGACTATTAAAAAATGTGAGAATGATGGATCATATTACAGGACATATTTTATAGCCAATCTGGTCTTGCCCTGTTAACTAAGTCAGTGTATGTGCTCTTTTTACCCAGCATGCCCTGTACCGGTGCCTGTGTGTCCCAGCTCAGTCTCGGACAGCACCTGTGGCAGCTCGCCGTCCTGCCGTTACGTCTCTCCTCCGGTGAGTTCATGACCTCATCTTGCTTAAGCCCACTGTCACCCAACTGCAGCTGGCGTATGCTTTCAGATTAAAGCTGCTGCATTATCTCCATATACCACTGCTGCAGCTGAGTGACAGCAGCCGAGCTCAGGAAAGGAATGAATAGTGCTGTCACTGACTTAACCCTAGGTAATCCAATGTTTTTCCTCTTTCTCTCTGTCCTTCTGCTGCAGTCATTGCCAGACATGCAGACGTTGCCCGAGGATGTGCTTTCCTCGCCCCCTCTAGGCCCTCCCAACTACCTGCAGCTGTCCAAAGAGTCCGGCGGCAGCACCAGTAGCAAAAACTCCTCCTGTGACACAGACGACTTTGTGTTGGTGCCCCACCTTTCAGGAGAACAGTCTTGTGAGTTACTTGTGCATTACTGTGATTTATCACAGGTAAGGGGTGTTTGTAGACGTCACGAGACGGAGTGCCTATAACCCCCCTTACCCATGGTAAAATCACTGTAGTATACGGCCTCAAGCAGCTTATTGCTTTAATAAAGAGAGACTTTACAACTTTACATGCACAAATTTTTAATAAATCACAAGGTATAATTGATAATAATCACAATAAACAATTCTCACACCAAGAGGAGTATGTAGAGTACGCAATTGTTGCTAAACAATGTAGGACTTCTGAAGGACGAAGTGCTGTCAAATCGCTCATCTTTGTTTAAGGCAGTCATTTAATGAATGATGTAATTTTTTGTCATATAATAATTAACATAATTTCCACTAGTTGTGTTAGCTTTAAGCAATGGTGCCACACATTTGTTTCCCCACACTGGGTTAAGTAGATCTAACTAAAAACATGGACATGTGAAGCATGTAAGACATTTAAGTAACATATTCTTTAGTTTTAATTTTGCATTTTTAGTCAGTTATTCAGTAAATACTTCAATACAAAACCCAACGCTGAATATTAATGGAGAAGCGGTTTAATCTGTTTAGCTATCTTTTAGCATGTTTAGCTTGCTATCTTTTTGCCTAGTTGTTAAGAAAATGAGTTATCGGACTCTCAGTTTAGACTAAATCAGGTTCTTATCTTCTTATCTTTCATTTTTTTGCTTATTTTTTATTTAACCTTTAATTGAGCCAGGCAAGTCATTAAGACCGTGTTCCTATTTACAATGGCGGCTTGGCAGTTCCCACTTCTAGTAGTATGACGGTCCATGCAAGCAGGATAACAGTCTATTCGCAGTATGACTGTTTTAGTGAGTTGGTGCATTAATACAGAATTAAGTTGTTGTCAGACAGTCATACTTGTTTACATATCCAGTATTTTACATCGGCTTTGAACATGGCTCAGCCAATCAGATTCCAGGACTGTAGCTATCCGTTTTATAGTAGATTATAATAATATTCAGTAAGGCTATTTAAAAAAAAGTACAAATCCAAAAAACTTTATGTATTGGTTTTATTGTCTGTACAGTTGTATGCAAAAGCTTAAACACCCCCAGGTTAACCTACGTGTTTTGTGGATTTTTAAGTGAAATTATGTTAACACATCCACTGCAGAGGACAGAACTTAAACATAACATTTTTCCACTAATATTAATACACAGATTCTTTGCAGTTTATTTGCTGAGTGTAACATATTGAAAACATAAAATATAAAATGTTTCATAACTTTTGCACAGGCCATGTTTTATTTTTTCCAATTTGTTGCATTCATCAAATAAACAGTAATTGTGAAATAAAAAGCTCAGAATTTTGTTCTCTGTAGAGGAAGTATAACTTGTTTTCACTTAGAAAATCAACAGAACATATAATTTGACCAGGGGCACCTGAACATTTGCATACAACTGTATTTCACTACTGTGTAAAGAGTTCCTGCAGTCACATTTGTGTATTCAGAATCAGAATAGTACTGAATTGTATAGCAGAGAAGTTTGCGTATTCATGGTTCCTAAAGAATCATGTTTGAATTGAATCAATGCGAAGTCAAAGAATTACATCCCAAAATATGCACACTATTACTGCTTTGTAGGCTTTTATTGCAAGTTACTCATTCCTCTGTTCTCTTCAGATGATCTGCCAATGGGGGCCACTGGCCGCAGGCCGTCCAGCGAGTTTTTGCTGTGTGGAGGGTGAGTATGACATCTCAGGCACACTTCATATATAGTGACAAATCACAGCCACAGAAGAAGTTACACTCTGTAACCAAGTTACAGTAGCACTCTAAACCACTCCACACACTGTGTTTGCCTGGCTTAGCTGTGCAAACATAAAGATTTTAAGACATGTCTGGGCCACAGGTTCACAATACATCTGCAGAGTGTGATGTCATTTTTGTTTGTTGTTCATGGGCTGAACAATATACATGGGCTGTTGAACAGATGCATCTATTATGCATCACAGAGATGCAGGATTGTTTTGGATTAACATGTTGACCTGTTTGTCTTGGTGATGTCAGCGGCGATATTTTCAGCTCTCTCTCTTAAGCTGTTTGATCATGAAGGTGAACGAGAGCAGATTCCATTATGCGAATATGACCTAGCGTGACGCGTCTGCTATTTCTGCGCTCAGGCTAGCTGGTGTGGCCAGGCTGAGGTGTGAATCACAAGGCTGTGAAAGAGGAGCCTGTGTGTGTGATTTTGAATGTGTGTGGTGTGAACTCTCCCCTTCTGCTTGTCTGAACCAGTTTCACACATTTTAGTCATAAAATGGCAGCTATTTTTGTCTGCTGCTCTAAATGAGGAAAAATCACTTAAACAGACACTACGAGACTGGTCCCATCAGTTATTTTTCAGATTTTTGGATAAATTGCAGCTGAGTTTCCTGCAGAAAATAGTCTGTTCAAACACCAATATTTCCTTTGTACTAATGACAACATCCACACAAATGGTGCATGTTTTCTGTGTTATCACTGGGTCCTGCAGTTCTGAGGCCCTTTCTTCCTCCAAAAATGGCACGTTTTTCTCACAATCAGCTTTTCGTGACTTTTAGGAATTAGGAATCTCCCAATATACCTGCGTTTATGAAATGTTACATGGTCTTTCCTAACCGTACTCTGAAGGATATTTCAGAATGATTTCCTAAACTATTGCTCATAATTGGACTTTTTATACTACAAAAAGACCTGAAAAACTTTTTGTAATAACATATGGTTTTTGAACAATATGCAGTTGTTTTGCAGTTTTAAGTAGATACTGTCTGATTTGCATGTCGAAATTTATTTTTTTGCAATACTTTCTGCTTGAAAGAATATCAGTAATTACATGGCTAGTACCCTATTTATCTGTTGTGTCTCTCCTTAAGGCAGGTAGATATGATTGAAAAGATCATGTCAAAATTATGTCATGATAATTTGGCAAAATACTGTTATTGCATTATAACAAGGGTAAATTCATTTGTTTTACTTTTCATGATTGAAAAAATAGACATTGCTGTGTATCTCCTAGACCTGTTTTCTTTTGTTTTCGTGAACTTAAATTGTTAAAATAGTTTGAATGTCTGTGTGTGAAAGTTATTATTCCACAGCTGTTTTGCACAGCAGTTCTGCGAGTCAGTGCATCTTCTCAAAGCCACTTCCTCCTTTGTTTCCCTTTCTGTACGTACCCAGGAGCCAGACACATTCTGAATTCTGTGTCATGTCTCTCTTTGGCCGTCTTCTCTTAAACACACACACACTGTTTTCTTTCTCCCATCTTTGTTGCTCTGTTTTTTATCCTCCTTTTCCATGCCCTCTGACTCCTGCTCTGACATAAGACACTCTCTGTGTTCATGTGCAGTGAGGTGGCTGAGCAGCGGTGCACACAACATTTCTCAACATGTTTGTGTGTGTGTGTGTGTGTGTGAACTCTCATGCAATACTGTTGGATGACTGCCAGCTCCTCCAGGAGAGAGGCCGATTTTTCCTGGAGCCCTGAACTGCAGCTCTACATGCTGTTCCCATGAAGTGCAGTCAGTGGCTTGTTTTCACTCCGTTGTTTGTGCATTGATTCCCAAGAGCATGGATCCAAAGGACGAGTAGCCCAGTGCTGCCTCCCTGCAGGCACACAAAAGCAGGTCAACAGTAGTGCACACCCAGCCATAAAAAGCATATGCAGAAAGCACAGAAAAAAAGCTGTTTTTGACCCTTACAAAAAAAAACCTACAGCAAGATTACAGGGATTTCTGTGTATCTCAAAGTAAAAGAGGACATATCCTCCTAAAAAGGGTATGTTAGTAAGACACTAAGTATATTGTCGCTGTCAGAACAAAAACATTGTATCTCCAAAAGGGTAAATTTACAGGAGAAGGTAAAAATTTTCTTAAATTTAAATGTAAGTTAGCACAACAAAATTTTATTCTAAGTAATTTTGGACCGTTTGTATTGGTCCGTTCATCATGAACATTTGACACAATGTAGTGGGCCTTTTTAAATTATTAAATTATTGAAGTGTTCAAGTAAAGATTTAGGTTGTGAAAATGACCATGGGGAAAAAGAGTGATGATTTGCCCTTGTTTATTCTTAACAATATAAAATCTCTGGGAAGAAAAATTAAATTGAAGTGTTAAAATTAGACAAAATGTACTTGGGTACAGTTTTGTTACAAGGAATGTTATATGGAGTAAGTAGACTTAAGTAAACAACACTGGAAAAATATTATGTTTTTTTTTTGTCAGGGAAAAATTAAGTTAGGCTATTATTAAGGACTCTAGTACGAGACACATTGTCTGAATTTGTCTTTTTAGTTAATCAGGCTGAGGGCTTTGAGAAGGATTTTAATTCTTTTGAATTTTTGGTCTTTCTGGTCAATTTAAATGTTGTGCAAAAAATGTATTAGTTATGCTTTTAACAGTCAGTGCTGCTTTGCCATGTGGGATGGTTTTTGCATTTTCTTGTGCTGTGCCATGCTGAACTGACTCTCGATCAAACAAAGAAACTCTCTTTGTGTTCCTCTGCTGGACGGCCTTGTGTTGCTCACGTGTACTTGCTCTCTCTGCTGCACTTTCAGGCCCTCCCTCTTATTACGTAATCCAGCAGGCTGAAACCCAAGCTCTAATGGCACATTTCCCTTTTAACTCTGCATGTAGCTCACCCTTCCCCCAAAAATAAGCTGTACATATACACTTGGGACCCCTCCTGCAGATGACCCACTCATGACTTCTGTCTAAAGACATTTTGTTCCTGGTCAAGAAAACAAAGAATGCAAATGAACCGTTTCTTTCACTGTGGCTGTTGAAAGTGGGAAGTTGCAGCACGTGCCATTGGCCATAAGCTCAGCCCACATTGACACTAGGTCAGCCCCCTAGCCCCTCCTTCTTCTCTGCTGATAGGCTGGAGCTGCATGTGTTTACAAGGTGGCTCCGCCCACTGCTGTTTGGCCAGGCCCCTTAAACAGGAAAAGGTTTTTTCACACTATATTTGCCGCTGTTAACAGACGAAACAAAGAACTCAGGTCTGAGTTCTCAGTTCTGTCACTTTTGCTTAGTTTAGTAATTAGTTTTTTTTTTTCAGATTTTAGACACGTCTTCTGAGAATGAATAGGTCTTTTGTTGTGCAAGACTCTTTTTTCAAACTTTGAGCTGTATCAGTGTTTTGTTTGCCAGCATGGTTCAGCAACAGCATGCTGACTGGATCACGGCATTTTTCTCTGCTATGTCCAGGCAGCCACAGCCCTCCTCGGGCCAGACACCGATGGTGTCTCCTCGGGCTGAGACCACCCCTATCCCCGTACCCACGCAGGTGCGCAACTACCAGCGCATCAAGCAGAACCTCTCCAGCAGCCCTACCACCACCCTCTACGGCTCTCCCAGGTAAGACCGCACTTTTTTAAAAGCCTCAGTTTGCAGTGTCCAGTTTAACAACCTTACATGCTGCAACCTGACCAAACATCCATTTTATTAACTGCCATGAGGGAGTTGTCATGCCGCGCTCCTTATGTGACTCACTCATGATTAATGCTCAATAGGTTGCTTTGGTTTACATCAGTTAGTGACCAGGTTGCATCAGAATGTCTTTGCAGTGGTCAGTGTCTGTGTCTATGTTTGTAGCCACCCTGATGTGGACAAAAGCCAAGAGGGGGGAGTTGAAAGGAGTAGCAAGAAGTCATACTGAGTAGTACTGGGTGATATAATGACTTTATCTGAATACCGGTATAGCCTCACAACAATATTGGTTTTAGTTTTAGAGATATTGATGGGTAACAAAAGCATAGTTAACTACAATGTATGTGATTTGCTAGATGCAGTTTTAGACAGATAGAAAAAAATGGTTAACATTTGTGATACTGTTAAAGGGTCTCTTTGGTGTAATTATAAGAGAGGCAGAACAGAACAAAACAGTCCAATCAAAACAAGCTATTAGGGATACACAATGAAATCAGAATCGTATCAGTATTGGCAGGTATTTTTTAAAAACAAGAATGCCTTTGGACAGATGTTTAGGTTTTACCAATATTTCAAACCAATATTTGATGACATATTTATTGTACTCTGGAAGAGCAGAACGTAGAGGTGATGCTGGGCAAAATGTCTGCATTTTATTCATTTTACCTCATTTGTAACATTCACGAATAAGTGTATTTAGCAATACATTTCTGTGTATTGTTAATCCAAGTAGAAGTAGTCCCAGTTTATACATTTTATAAATGTTTATGCATTGGCATCGGCAGATACACACCTGAAAAATATTGGCTGTTGGCATTGGCCCACAATTCCCATACTGGTGCATCCCTACAAGCCATGTTCTTTGTAGGACATAAAAGCCATGTAAGATATACTTTTAGGGTTCATTCAAACTTATGGTTTTTATTTCAATTCCAAAGCAAATATCATCTGACAGTGTGATATATATTTGGAAAATACTGAGGTATTTAATTTAATTAGCCTAGCACAGCACTAATGCTGTGTAAAGGGGTGGATGGGGGGGAGAAAGAAAGAGAGAGGCAGCTATTGTTTTGAGGTGATTGTCTCAGTATGGGGCTGGTAGGGTTTAGGCAGGTGGCCAGCAGGGAGCTTTAGAATTAAGCCTGTTCTACCTCAACCATCGCCCCATCAGACCAGACCAGGCCCAGCCCAGTGCCTGCTGGCCAAAAGGGGCTGATCCTCCAGCAGCAGCTGCTGCCCCACTTCCCTTGGCCTGGCTGTGTGTCTCAAACAAGGCTTAAATGCACTGCCTTGAGCTGCTTCACACTCTCTGTTAGTCAGCTCCACTAGCGGTTGTGCTAAAGAGCACTGCTAACTAGTCTGCATGCTGCCGGACAGAACTGCTACTGGGATTCTATGAGTCATGCTTGTTTTCCAGTGCTAAAGAGCAAGTGACACAGCAAACTTTTCAAATTTTCCAACAATAGGAAGAGGACAGATCACTGCAGCATTATTTTTGGGGTTTTTCTGTTGGAAAGAGCAGCTGAGGATTTTGATCATTAATAACACCAGAAGTAAAATTGAAGAACAGACATCTGAGAAATGTGAGCCACAGACGAGGCACTGCTTTAACCTTGGTTTAATTGTCTGCAATTTTGGACAGATTATAGTGTGTGTTTGTGTTTGTAGAAGTCAGAATAAGAAGGTTATGGCTAATTGTAACGGCGACATGGTTTTGTGTCGACTGGCTGCAGGTCAGGTACAGTGCGACGCTCCAACACCAGCCCCATGGGCTTTCCTAAAGCTTCCTCCGGCTCTCCCAGCCCAGCTGATGCTGCCCAGACTGTGGGCAGAAGACTCTCCACAGGCAGCTCCCGGCCGTACTCGCCTTCTCCACTGGGTAAGAATCTCTCTCTCTCTCTCTCTATCTCTCTCTCTCTCTCTCTCTCTATCTCTCTCACTCTCTTTCTCGTTCTCTGTCAGTTAAAATCACTTAAATTCAGGATGTTTTCTTGACATGATAAATACGTTTGTATTGTCAAACCTTTGGTTACAGAGTTTGTGATATATACATTTTTACAATTGCTTTTTTTTCTCTCTATTCCTCCCCACTTATCCCCTTTGCTATTTTTTTCTGTATTGTTTATAAATGCAGTTGCCAGGGAGATGCCCACTTTTTTGGGAGGGGGTGTTTGTTTTAAATGTGGGGCATGCTGTGACATGTCTATATGTGTTTTGTCCAGTGGGCACAATTCCTGAACAGCTGGGCCACTGCTGCTGTGGACATCCCCACAGCCACGAGGCGCGGAGCCGCAGCTCCTCTGGTGGTGAGTGTGTGTGTGTCTGTCTGTGTGTAAGAAAGACTATCTCTCTTTTCTGCTCCCTGGAATTAGGTGTCTTTTTTAGCTCACTATGAGCCTGTTAACATTCCCATAAGGCTTTGTGTTTTCTCTGAGTTACCTTACTCTGGATCACAGTGTGTCTGTGCTGTTCCACCAAGGGACTGATCTCCATGGAAACCACTTACAAAGGAGAAATCACTTTTAATATGTGCACTGTTCAGACTGTGATTACAGCCAGTGTAGCCACTGGAGATTCAGCTCAGACATAGCCTGCCATTGTGTGACCTGCAAGCTTCCACCTTCCACCTTTTTAAAGTTTTCAATCTTTTTGTGTCATCTTTTTGTTTACATGCTGAAATACTGCTCATAGTTATTTCCCAACTAAAAATGAAGGCAAGGAGCATGAGCTCTAAACTCAGTGGCCTCTTTCAGTGTTATTGGCAGTTCACTGAAGCATTGACATCTCATGCAGACTCTGGTGCCATCTAGTGGACATAGCATACAGTGTAGCATGCTTAGCACAACTAAAGAAATTCTCTTAAAGGAGCATTCTGGACTAAACTAGTTTAATATGTTATTTATCAAAATTCTGTAGTGCAGTATTGTATCCCTCAGCTTCATCTATTTGATAGAATTCACAATTAAATATTGTCTTCATGTTTTTGTTCATAAATGTTCCCTCACTACAATGCACAGCGTGCATTATGCATATACATCATACAACCAATGGGAATCTCCCTGATGTCAACAACATATAAGAAAACAGCAATTCTCTTTATTTAGCACTAAATGCACATTTTTACTCTTTCAGTCAGGAAAAGTAACCATTGGCTATCCAGGTATCTAGATAGCCAAATAGCTACCTTGCCAACTTTTAACTTGTTGTCCTCATCTAACAAGTCAGTTCTGTTGTTTGAGTAAGCCATTTTCTCCATTGAGGACTTCAAGACGGTTACTACAGTTATACAGCTTCTTTCTGCATTCACCAGCTAGTGAAAAAAAAGCTAGTGAAGCTCTCCTCAGAAAATCCACCCTGAAGCAGTTGTAGTTTTCAAATGTTCTTCCCACCTTCAAGATACATCATCAGAAGGGGGCTTTGTGGTAGTTAAAGCAGAAAATCTCACACTGGAGACTACTGTGGTACCTCTGTAGGCTGCGAAGTTTGTTTACAACAGATTTATCATTTTGTCCAGAGTGCTTCTTTACCTGAAGAAGTGGAAGCGACACTTTAGGACACTTTAGTCGTTGCAGTTACTTTTTAGCTTAAATGTCTAAATGTTATTTGTTTTTACAGGTTCTCCTGTGCCCTCATCTCAGTTGCTTGGAGCCAGGCTCCAGAGTGCACCTACCCTGACAGATGTCTACCAGAACAAGCAGAAGCTGCACAAGCAGCTTTCTGATCCTGTGCAGCCCACCTCCCTAGCGTACCCTCCCACCCACTCACCACAGCTCGGACGTCCCGGCAACCTGGGCACTTCACCCACAAAGCACCTGGGCTCCTCTCCTCGCACCTCTGATTGGCTACAGAAGTCCCCCCTGCCTACCATCATTGGGTCACCGACCAAAGTAAGCTTTATGAATTAGATCAAATCAGAATAAATATGGCATGGTACTCTACGTATGTCATTAGGGGACAAAGCGATCATATGATCTTATGATTGTTTTACAGACAACGGCTCCTTTCAAAATCCCTAAAACCCAGGCCTCATGCAACCTCATGGCCTTGGCCTCTCAGCAGGGGATAGCAGATAGCACTACTCCCAGCAAGGCACTGATGGACGCCCGTGATATCTGTGCTCACCACTGCTCCCCATATCCCAGTGGCCGCCAGTCGGCTCCAGAGGCCAGCAAAACTACCTTTGGAAGGTACCAGAACACTTCTCTTTTTCTTCCTCTTCAGTTACATAGAGCTTTTGATAATGAATATTACATTTGCTTTTCTGATTGACATTCAGTCAGATTTTCTGGGCATATTTGATTTGAATTGTTAACAAGTAAATTTTTATTCTGACTTTTTTCCTCAGGTCTGTGAGTACAGGTCGTTTGTCAGAGCAGCCTGTGCGAATCACTTTGGGAGGTCAGGCGTACCAAGGCAGCACAGACAGTCTAAACACAGAGAGACCTATGGACATAGGTAGCTGTCCACTCATTTGCATAACAGCATACCTTATTCTGATGGGATTTTGTTGCTATTGTATAATCTCTTAATCTGACATCAATAAAGAATTGATATATTCAATTAAATATAATGATATAATATCTTTTTCACAAGCGTTTCACAGCTAAGAACACGTGTTGTACTGTGATGGGCTTCTGCTGAGTATAAAAGTGTGCTAAGTTGGCGGTGAGTGACCCCTGTGTCGTGTTTTTGTTTGTTCCTCCCCCCAGCCCCTGCAGGGTCCTGTGGTATGGCAGCAGGTGGAGCAAGTCCCCGCACTGTGGTGTTCACAGTGGGCTCACCCCCCAACAGCAGCACCCCTCCCACCTGCAGCCATCTGGCCACTCGCCCACGCACCACCTCAGGTTAGGGATTCACCTTAATCACTCAAAACTGAATTGTAGCTACTTCTGCCCAGACCACTTAAGCCTTTTAGAAAAAAAACAATACAAACCTACTGCTCATACACTGTCAAAAATAAAGGTTCCCTAGTGAACCAAAAGTGGTCTTTCTGTTGTATTGCACTAAAGAACCTTTAGCTGGGGGTTCCTTGGGTATACTTACTTTCCTGACTGGCTTTGATACAGCACTTCCATGGAAGCTGTCCACTGCATGCTCAAGTTATTTCCACACAATTTAGTCATTAATGCACAGCAAACTACTTGACCTAAAACCTTCTTTGGACTATACTGAGGTGTAGGTGTGATCGTGGGTGCATTTGTATCTCTGCAGTAGGCTCCAACAGTTCAGGTGGCTCGCTGTGCTCCACCAGTGGGAAGGTGTGTATGGGCTCTCCTCCGGGTATGGCCATTGGCAGTTCCCCTCCCGGGGCAGAGGCAGCCCCCAGCAGCCTGCGCTACGTCCCCTATGGCACCTCTCCACCAAGCCTGGATGGCTTCATCACTTTCGAGGCCCCCGAGTTGCCTGAGGAGACACTGATGGAGGTAAGAAGACCAAACAGCTAAGGGTAGTTATTTTAATCTAAAGGAAACCAGTCAAAGCACCATACAGAAAAATCTTGTTAAAAAGCCTTAGTGACCAGTGTCTTCTTGTGTTATATAATTAGGCTGGTAGATTGCAAGCTGATCTGTGAAATCAGTCCTTCCAATTAGAGCGAAGTAGAGTAGTTAGGGACCACTCCAGACCTTAGTTTGGACTACTCTAGACTTTTGGTTTGGCCAAAATCTCCCTTTACACAAATGTAGTCTGGTACATTGACATTGAGTTGTTAAGCGATCTCTAATACAGTTTCTTATGTAGTTTCTGACACTCTGTGACATACAGTATGTATCAGAAAGGACAAATGTATGCTGCAAAACAAACAAAAAAAAACATAAAAAATTATAGCCATCTTGTCCATTTGTCCAGATAATAGTGAGGATAAACCTTTGTACAATATTTGACAAGCTATCACTTTAAAACCATACAAGTATACAGATTGACTTGTGTATTCTGTGTTCGCAGCGAGAGCACACAGACACACTCATGCACCTGCGGATGATGCTGTCCTTTACGGACTGTGTGTTGGAGATGGCTGCTGTAAGGGCAGGAGGGGCAGACCTAGGTGTTTCTGCAGCCTCACTTTACCCTCCCCAGGAGAGTGTGGTGGTGGACCAGATCAGCCAGCTCAGCAAAGAATGGGGGTAGGACATGTATGCACCTGCTCACACAGTGGCAGAAAGACACACATGCATACATACAGACCACACCACACTTGAATCCACATGTTCATCCATGTCTCTTTGTGTCACCCCCCTCAGGCAAGTGGAGCAGTTGGTGTTGTACATGAAGGCTGCTCAACTGCTGGCCTCCTCTTTGCACCTGGCCAAGGCCCAGATCAAGTCTGCAAAGCTCAATCCCTCCACCGCTGTCAAACAAGGTGTGCAACTGCGTTTGACATGCACACTTGAAGAGAGCATATAGAACCTTTATTGCAGATTAATATAGTGGTAGTAAACACTGATATCGATGAAAGTCATCAGAAACTAGGAGTGTAAATCTGAATCGACACCTGCAGACTGATGCCTCATGATGCACTGATGAATTGTTTTTCTTCTAACAGAAAAAGCTTAGAATATCAACAATTCAGCACACATATATACAGTGTCTCTCATGTCTCCTCTTGTGTTTCACAGTGGTCAAAAGCCTGAATGAGCGCTACAAGAGCTGCATCTCTCTGTGTCGTCGCCTCACGGACAAACTCAACCACTTTTTCTCGGACAAGCAGCGCTTTGTGGATGAAATTAACAGCGTGACGGCCGAGAAACTCATATACAACCACGCTGTGGAGATGGTGAGTGGGAGACAGACCATACTGTGTGCATAGTTGTGCATGTGTCTTTGTCTTTACAGTGGTTTGACACAACCCCTTTGTGCATTTGTGTTTGTAACAGGTGCAGTCGGCAGCACTGGATGAGATGTTCCAGCAGACTGAGGACATTGCCTATCGCTACAGCAAAGCTGCCATGTTATTGGAGGGCCTCAGCAAGATCCTGCAGAACCCGGCAGATATAGAAAATGTTACAAAGTGTGAGTAACTCACCTCTCACTCCAGCTTTTTCCTTTAATTGCACATTTGTGTTATATGTCGACTGGCTATACTGTTTAATTGCACAGAAACATTTAAGCACATAGTCAAGGCCTATTCACACCAAGTAACATTATCTGGACTTTTTTGGAACCTTCACATTAAATCTGATTGCGTTTTTTAAACTCTCTGAGAATTAAGCAGACAGAAGAGGAAAAAATGGATTCCTTGAGTAGGCATGATGGTTGAACTATTCTTAGGTTATAGAAGTGTGTAATAAAACTTAGGGCCCACCAGCAGGCCCTGGCCTTTTAAGGGGTCAAGCAATGTGCACACATAGGGTACACCCCATTCTACAAAAAAGGCAACAACATGGTGAGTTTCACTTCCTTATAGAAGAGCTGTATAATGAGTGCTTCTAAAGTTGTTTCCTTGTGTCAGTGGGGGAGTTTGAGGTACTACTTCTGCTCATAGCTGTTCTCATAACAAATCTTGTTGCTTTTTGTATAAGCTTTTGAGCTCTGCCATAGGCTAGATGGAGCTGTTCTGTCTTGATTCTACTGTGCTTGAATTAAAACCGTGACACTGGAGCACTGATTGGTCAGCCTGATTTTTAGTGCATCTGTACAATACAAAATTGAGCTAGCTAGATGTTAAAATGGCATTGTTTGTTTTCAAACTTGACATACATTTTTTCGTTTGTAAAATTCGAACTCCGTGTGAATAAGTTTTTAGTTAATTACAATTACGTGTTTTCTGTTTTTTATGCTGAGCAGTGATGTAAATGTGTTAAATATGTAAAGCATATTTTACATTAAAAGTAAGTTTTAATCAAATTCATATTATAATAAAATATCATAACAGAAATGTGCTATTGATTGAAAGTTCTAATCTGCAGGATTTTGCAACACAAGTGATAACTGTGACTTCCAAGCATTAATTAGTGCTTCAAGTACTACCACAAGCACTTACCTGTAGTCACTCTTTTTGTTAAGGTAACTCATTGTTTACACTATGTTAGCAGTCTGCTTAGTACCTCAGCTTCAGTTTCTCTTTCTTCCAGCATTCTTCATGCATGTAATGTACGTCTTCCTCTGTATGTGTGTCTACAGATAAGGCGAGCGTCGACCGTCGGATCTCTGCATTGTGTTACTGCACTGTCACACTGTACGAGTAGCAGCCACACACCACCCCTGGCCCATTGGCCCCAGGGACCACCCTCCTCTCAGCTCACTCAATCCAGAGGACCTCCTCGATCCCACTTCTTCAATTTCGTAGCAGTCAAGGCACTTTCCATTTTTAATTACTCCTCTTTTTCATGGACCCATCAGAGACAAGTATTATTTTTTTCATAAAGGACAAATGTTTGAGAGGGACCTGTGCACAAATTCACTACCAAAGATGAAATGTATCAATAGACATTTTATTGTCAAGAAAGTGGCATTGGACTCCTTACTGGCTAGAGCCGTCTCTTGTTTGTTTTTACAGTTTTCTTTAATTCACTGCACAACACAAGGGAACTTAGAAGATCCAAGAACTTTCAGCTGTTTTTCTCTTTTTACACGGAGAATCGGGCTCAGCGCCCAGCAGCAAGACTGAGCGAACATTATAATGCAAATCAAAGTTCCTTTGGAAAGAAAACAATTTTTTTTTGCAATGACTTGTTTTTATACTGTAATCTGTGACACTGTTGCAATTATTTATTGGTTTTAGGAGGATATCATAGTGTTGAAATGTTAAGTTAGGATGCTTTTCATGTTAAATGAGGGCTTGAGAGGTAGTTAGACCCATGACGGACTGTAGTTATAGTAATAGTGAAACCCACAAACATACAAGACAATTGCGCCAAACTCACTCGCACATGTTCACTCTGCACCTCTCGCAAGTTGTCTTTAGCACGGTAGCCTGAGATTTTTAATGTAATCAGATTCTGTGTTGTTTTTTTGTTTTTTGTTTTAAATCAAATGCACTTTATTGACACAGAAGCGGAGAGGACTTTGTTCCGGAAAGCTTGGGAACGAGAAGCTCATGCAAGGTGATTAGAGAGAAGCAGAAACAATGAATACAGATGTTAGACTCTGGGAGACAATGCTCTGCATGGCAGTGAAGACCACAATAAGGACAAAAACGTCTCCTGCGTGGGGTTGAAGAGGCTTCCTAGCTCTCTGTGATCAGGGTCATATACAGGTTGAACACAGCCACAAGGTTCATCAACAATAACGGTCAAAATACTTGAGTAGTTACTTACCTTTTCATTTGAATCGTCAATATTGAAACAAGCTTTTTTATGTTCATATTAATACTGTAGCTTTTTTTTTTTACAAACTGATGTTTGCGATATGTAAATATTTAAGTATTTGTACTTGCATGTGTGATGTTTGTTTTGGTTTTTGTCCCTGAATGAATGCGTTCGAGCACTGCGTGTGATCGGTGGTGGAAGGCGCTGGCATAGGACATCCCTCCAGTCAACCCAAGAGCACAAGTCCTTCTTTTTGTAATTTGTGGTTTGATACTTGCCCACTACTGCCACAAGTCTCCGCTCAAAGTCTTTATGAGGCCCTCCAGAAAAACAAGAAACCTCACGTTTGTCTTTGCATGGCAGCTCTAGAAGTAACTGCTCTCTATAACGAACGTCCATTTAGGGAGCAGAAAACAGATACGAAGTAGACGTGATGCTTTTCCCTGGCCATGCGCTGTGCTCGGGACAGTGTTTGCAGTGTGACCGCACTACTGAGGTGCACTGAAGGCCAGTTTCAAGAAACTGAACAACTGAAGGCACTACAAGAGTAGGCTGCTTTCACCTGTACATGTGTTAATATGTCGCCCCCAAGTGTTCTATACCAGCACTGGCAGAGATGCTGAGAGGCTGTCTCCAGTGTGCTCTTCTTTACTAGGAGTTTGTGCTTGATTATGTTTTGTTCTTCTGCCCCCTTGTGAGCCTTCACCTTCACAAAGCCTTTATTGTACAGAAAATGGCTCTTTTTATAATATCCTGTCATATATGGACATATCTCCATAGTGTGTGGATGACACTCCCTCGCCCACCTCAGAGACCTGTGTATAGAGGACATTCTGTTAGAATTGACTGGTACTGAACATGGGTCATACCTGTGGAATTGTAGAATGTATCTGCCCTGTCTTTAGCACCTTTCCTGTTTCAAATGAATACGTAAACCCGGCCCACCGTGGCCCATCTGATGCGATACGGCCTTTATAACTGAAGTTCAAAGCTACTGTTTTGTTTTTTTTTTTGTTTTTTTTTGTTTGTTTTTTTCAATGAGAAATTACGTTAATTGATGTTTCATCCAGACCAATTTTTTTTTTTTTTCTGGAACTCTAGAACAACAGCCTTTCTTTATTAAACAGATTCATTTGAGACTATGGTAGCATCCATCTCTTTTTACACTGTACAAACTTTGATAATAATAATCATAATGACAATAATTCCCTTTATTTATATAGAGCCTTTATCACTCCTTTCTGACTGAAGGGGAAAAAGCAAGGAGGACAAACAATGAAAGAGAAAAAGTATGTTTTGCGTCTTAAAAAGGGCAAATAGTGAGATATTGCTGTGACCTGGATTGAAACATCCTTTATAAATGTTAACACTTCTGTTATTACAACACCAGTAATTCAATGAGGTAAATATATCAGTGTATATATATAGTGTGGTGACAAGCTGGTCAGATGGCATCTTTACTGGCTGTTTGTATAGGATTACACAACAGCTCAGTAGTTACAGTGATGATCACCTGGAGCCTCCCGAACAGTGATGATCACCTGGAGCCTCCCGAACAGAACCAGAATACACACACATAATGTAAAAAATATAAAACGAAGAACATTGAAAAGGGAAGTGCAGCTAATATGCATACAAGACTTTGCAAAGTGACAAAACAAGAGCTACGTGTACAGACAGAAACTGATGAAAAAACAAGACACAGTAACCTCCGGACCAGTCAAAGGGGAGTCAAAACATTCTAGAACAGAATTAAAAAATTCACTCAAGGATATGTTTTTCCTAGTGCTGGGCACCAACACTTACCGGTATACCATGAGATTGACCGTGATATAGCTTTTCAATTTTAGCAATATATTTGATACATAATGAGCATTATAAGCATGACATAATATCCATAAAATAGGCAGATTCCTGTTGCCAAGCAGTTTGTTTATATTTTTTTCTGTTCAGTGAATTTCCATCGTTATATCATGGACCTTATAGTTAACTGCAATGTATATCTTTAGTTTGGTGCTTCAGATCAGTTCAAAAACATGAAAACTAAATAAATATATAATGGGTCATAAAACAGTAGGTTTCCCTTTTTGAAATCTGGTTTCCGCCTGGTTAATGTTTGTGTTACTGTGTGAGGTTCAGTTTGGTGTCATTTCAAAAGGGATGTCTCTTTATTTCATTTCCTGTAGTGTTTAGCTGTAGAGTCCTGCATGAATTTACTATTATCTGCCCTAATGTTAGGCTAATGATATTACGCAATACAATACTGTAAAGCTAATGCTATCGCGCATCAATTTCATGTCACTAAGTTACATGAAAGTAAGGCGGGCTATGTTGGTGCTCTGATGAGTTGTGCTACCTTATCAAACTGTTCCACCGTAGTGCGTTTTTATAGGTAGCTCTGTAAATAAAAGGTAGAATATTTTGATAGCCTAAATCTCCTTATCAAAAATACTACCAGGGTTAAAACTATTTGATTTTTTCGAGTTTTCCCGTTCCACCCTAACTAGTACAGCAGTTGTGATTAGCTATCACAAACATTAACAAACAGGACAAAACAATATTGACCTGTTGGTTCTGTGAAATGGCAAAAATAAGTTTATGTTACCCAGAAGCAGAAACAGAGCGTCCTCCTCATCCCTTTTCATGCCTCTCACCTCTCGATGAAGCTGCTCAGCTCCTTCTTGTTCAAATTTTTATCCTGTTCCACCTTAAATGGCGCAGCAGTGTTTATAACACTTCGGACGCCATAATCAGCCGTATAGAGAGAGTTGCGTCAACTCCGTTCACTCCAATGGACAATTTTTTTACAGCAATGGCGGATCATGGAGCCTCTCAATAGTTCCCGGAAGTTGGCAGCAAATACTAGCAGCGCGGCCGAGTTGCAGCAGAATAGACCGGTTGTGATGGACTTTTAAAGGGTAAAACAATTAAAGAATCAGTTTGTATATAATAAGCACATCTGAATCAAATTAACATATGTATTAAAGTATGTCAGTGGATTATCCCTGATTAAATTAGTAGATTTAAGAAACATTAACAGATACTGAGTAACAGATACTGGGTACTGAGTAAAGTTAGCAAGCCATAATGTGAACCATAAACAGCCTAGTAATTGTAAAATCCCTGCTCTTAATGTCGTTTCATCCACCGTTGTTGAATCTTAGAAAAGGCTTCTAAACATGTTTTTTCACGGGGTGGGTGGGAGTTAAATATTAGTTAAATATAACATTGGGGCAGAGCTTGTAGAGGGGAGGAGGTGGAGGAGATAAAATGAGAATATTGTTATCCATTTTGGAGTACGAGCTAATGTAGTTACACAATAAAAAGAAAGCTATTTTCGTGATACGTCACTATTGATGTGGGATTTAGAGCGCATATTGGAGACTTTAAAGAGTAAACAAATATAAGACTTATGGATTGAGTGTTTGCAGGCTTTGTGATTTTGTTGACTGCTGTCTGTACATTATGGTGCAGTTGATTTTGGATTAATGGCAAGAACCACGGGGGGATTCAACTCAGCCTAAAGACTCCCTACAATAAGACAGCACCCCCACCCTGCACCCTGAGTCTCAATTCCCTGGGGTTTGCAATTCTTTACCTGTTCCTTATTTTTAATAAATAAAACGTTAAGCTTCCCAGTGGTGTGGCTTGTGTTTGTGAAACGTATGCAGTGTCACATTGTTGTTGTTGTAATCTTTAGTGATGGTAAGTAATTTAGTAATTGCTCCTGCTGACTTGAGCCAGCAGTTTTTTCTTCTCTCTGTCAGTGAGAAACCAAACATTTCACTCCTTTCTCCGAGCGACTGAAGCATCTCCATGCAGCAGAGCAAACCATGGTGGGGACTATATACAAGGACAACATGGAGAAAAGGGCACAGACAAACTGCCTGCCAGACTATTCATGTTTGAGTTTGTTATAGCTTTTTTTAATGAATCCATCGCAGTAAATATGTGCATAGTAAAAAGACAAGATATATAAAATATGTTTATATGTGTACAAACAAATATAAACAGATGTGTTTATTATGTCCTGTCCTGTCTGGATGTGATGTATTTTAATGTACGCTTTTTTATACAGATTTTTTCATATGCAAGCCAAACAAATTTCTTTGGCTACTTCTGTCCTTTCGGAAAGTCATAGAGTTTACAGTGGTCATCAAGTCATTAAAATTATCTAGGCCTTGGGATTACTGAAACAACCATTAATTAAAGATGTATTTATGTTAATTATATTTGTTGAAAATTAATCTGATCTCAATTTTGAAACATTCCTTCTCTTCCCCTCCCTCTAAGTATATCAATAAACATTAGGATATGACTGATCTACCATACAACTACCATACAAGTTTAAGAACATAATATCTATAATACTGAAAAGTCAAAGCAATGAAACAACGAAAACACACTTTGAAACCATGTTCACATTAACCCAACATGAACGAATTTGACTTTAAAATATATTATATTGTTGTAACTACACACACACGTTGGTTTTCTGTATACATATTGTAAATCAGTGCATTTATTGACTTTAAAGTACCGAAAGACGCAGTTCTGACGCTGAGTGTTTATGGGTTTAAATTGCCCGCAAAGAACGTCCTGGAACTGTCTGAAGGCTACGTGAATCACGTGCCCGAATTATTTCGATATCTACTGAAGGTTTGTATGCTAACCATTTAACCGGCCCGCCCTGTCTCGTAATACCAGTTTGTACCTGAAGAGGGTCTGTAGGGTCGAGTGTGCCTCAGTCCGACATGAGAGGATGAAGAAACAGCAGCGCCCGCGCTCGGCAAGAAGCCACAAAGAAAACAAGAGAGATAAATAGAAACAAAACAAGAGTCAACAATGGCGTTGATTTCCACCCTGGAGACTCCCGACAGGTAAACGGATGAAGTTTGATACTGAACTCCAAAGAGGAGGCGTGAAGGGAGGAGGAGTGAAGAGAGGAGGAGTGAAGAGAGGAGGAGTGAGGGAGGAGGCAATGAAGAGAGGAGGAGTGAAGAGAGAAGGAGTGAAGGGAGGAGGAGTGAAGGGAGGAGGAGGGACTGTGTGAAGTATGAATTCGACAGGTTGCTTCATCTTACAAATTGCTCCTTTTAACTCTGTTAGTTTATGTCCCTGGTCATTTTAGGCTTTATTTATTTATTTATTTATTTATTTATTCATTCATTCATTCTTTATGCACTAATGGAGGGAGTGTCTTCTGAGGATGTAGGTGAATTATGTAGTACTATTATCATATCTTCATCAGCGTAATGTTGATTTTGCATTTGAGACCTAAACATCAACTGTGCATTTGACGCTAATAGAGATGTGTGACCTGGTCAGAAAAACTTCCAAAAAATCTGACATGAAACCTTTGACTTTTAAATGATTAATTCAGGCTTTACAAAGCTCGACTTGCAGTAATGTACATAGACCATATTTTCAGCGTGTTTTTTTCCTCATTCAGTACTGTTCATTTTTTTCAAAACTTACATAGTGCTGCTTTAAAGCTAACATACCCTGGTGCCATGATATATTTGGAAAATATTGATATATTTCATTTAAATAAAAAGTACAAGTCTAGTTTCTTACAAATAAATATTTTACACCTCATAATAAAGCTAAAATAAAGAAAAAGACATACACAAACAGTACAAATCACGTGCAAATAAAGAATAGATGAGAATAAAGCAGTCTTGTGCAAAGTGATCCAGACCGCAGCACTTCCTTCTGTTAAGAATAAACATGCTTCTTATGTTGACCCCTCTCCGTTTCATCACTTCAGCACATTTGTTTCACAGCCTGAATCAGCAGACTGACCTGAGAGTAGTTGTCTGTTGCTTTATTGTTTATGACATGGTATCTGTAGCCACACATCTCCAGGATCTTCTGGAGATGCTTACCACTTTTCTTAATGTGTTCTTCAATGTTTTTTCCTCTCAGCTCATCACCCCAAGTGAAGAGCACCATAGTGTGCTTCCACACATCGAATCCCAGGACGCTTAGGTTTTCCTCCACAGCCTGACGGTCTCTACTGCTGAACGCATCCACGGGGATGACCAGGAGGAAGACCCGATGACCAACAGAGCTAAACATCTCACTGCGGAGGACCTCCTGCCTCACCTGCTTTGTGTTGGCTAAACCAAACGCACTCCAGCCAGGGGTGTCCACCACGGCCACTCTCACTCCGTCCACCCAGCTGTGTTTCTTCACACTCTGTCTGGTCTTCACTCTAGTCTCAAACTCCATCCTTCCAAGAATGGTATTCCCTGCTGACGTCTTCCCAGAATTCCTCCTGCCCAGTAGCACAAGGGCTAATAAAGAGACACTTTGATTTCCAGCTGTAAGATGTAAAAGGGTGTTTATGAAAAAAGGTACAGTACTATTGCAGGAATTTTTACAGGACTCCTACAGAAATCTTAAAGTAAAATCAGAATATCAAAGTTTACCACCAAATACTACACAAGCATTATACACTATATGGCCAAAAGTATGTGGACGCCTCTCCTAGTTATTGAGGTGTTCAGGTGTTTTATTGCTAACAGGTGTATAAAATCAAGCACATAGCCATGCAATCTCCATAGACAAACACTGGCAGTATAGTGGTTTGCAGTAAAGAGCTCATTCACTTTAAACATTGCAATGTCTGCTTTTTTCTCTCTCTCTTTAAAGTGTTGCTTTTTTCTTTTTTGAGGATGGCCTTATTCGGGGTGAGGGGTTATATGTATAACTTGTTTTCATGTTAACATGTACTCACTGCTCATTAATGCATTTTGTAATTTCTTAAAACCAATAAAATCTATGTTTAAAAAAACAAAAACAAAAAATAAGTGGCACTGTCATAGGGATGCCACTTTTGCCACAAATTAGTTTGTGAAATTTCCGCCCTGCTAGATCTGCCCTGGTCAACTGTAAGTGCTGTTATTTGAAAAGGAAGTGTCACAAAGTGGTAGACCATGCAAACTCACAGGGTGGGGCTGCTGCGTACTGAAGCACATAGCATGTAAAAATCACCTGTCCTCTGTTGTGTCTCTCATACAGAGTTCCAAACTGCTTCTTGAAGCAACATCAGCACAAGAACTGGCAATTAGGAGCTTAATGAAATGGGTTTTCATGGCTGAGCAGCTGCACACAAGCCCAAGATCACTATGCACAAAGCTAAGCATCAGCTGGAGCGGTGTAAAGCACGCCGCCACAGCACTTTGGTGCAGTGGAAATGTGTTCTCTGGAGCCACGAATCACACTTGACTATTTGCCAGTCTGATGGATGAGTCTAGGTTTAGCGGATGCCGGTACGCTACCTACCAGAATGCGCAGTGCCAACAGTAAAGTTTGGTGGAGGAGGGCTAGTGGTCTGGGGTTGTTTTTCAGGGTTTGGGCTCAGGCCCTTAGTTCCAGTGAAGGGTAGTGTTAATACTACAGCACACAAAGACATTTTAGACAATTATATGCTTCCATCAGTGGCTCTTTCCTCTTCCAGCATGGCTGTGCCCCTGTGCACAAAGTGAAGACGTTGTTTGAAAAGTTTGGTGTGGAGTAACTCCACTGATCTGCACAGTGTCCTGACCTTAACCCTAATGAACAGCTTTGGGATGAATTGGAATTTCGATTGCAAGCCAGGCCTTCTTGTCCAACATCAGTGCCTGACCTCACAAATGCTCTTTTGACTGAATGGACATAAATTCAAACACAAACATTATAATTGCTTGTGGAAAGCCTTCCCAGAAGAGTGATGACCGGAACCATATTAATGCCCATGGTTTTGGAATGGGATGTCCAAAAAGCTCATGTGGATGTGATGCCCAGGTGTCCACATACTTTTGGCCATATAGTGTAGATTACAGGAATATTATACAGACTGAAAACTGTAGATTATTATAGAAGTATTATATATACAATACTGTGCCACAGTCAGCACCTAAACGTGAAAACCAATTTCTGGCTGTTAAGTACATTTTGCTTGTAGAAACATCATATGCCATTAGAATAAATCACTGTTGTTGGAAGAAAACCTTGTATCTCCAAAATCATAACTTTACAGGAGAAGGAAAAAAACTACTTTACTTTTAATGTAAGTCAATGGAACCAGAGATTTTCCAAGTAATTTTGGGCCATTTTTTTTGGTCCATTCTCCATGAAATTCACAAACAATCTAAAGGCCAACAGGTATTTTCAAATTATGTCAAAAACTGAAAAACAACAAAAATGGAGACACAAGGTTTTCTTCTGACAGCAGCGATAAGCAATGAATAAATGCAGTAAAAGAAGAAATCCTAAATTTTAAAAAAGTAGTTTATATCTTTTGAGCTGTGAGAGGTTTGTAAATGATTAAACACACACATTGGTATAATTAAAATCACTATGTACTGTATTAATATTATTTGCATTCATTCTAATTCTGGTGTTTTAATGAGAAAATATACACTTACTGACCTGATAAATAAACAGAAAATCTATTTTTCTCAGGTGCCTTTTTGCAAATCTTATAGTTATTGCTACAGTCTTCTCAGGAGGGGTTGGAGTCGTCATTTCTTTTCTCAAGTAAGTACACTCCTAAAAAAGATGGTTCTTCCAGAATTCTTTAGTAAAGGTAAGGGCTCTACTTAGAACCATGAATTCTATATAGAACCACTTCATGCTTAAATGGCTGTTTGCATAGTGAAATGGTTCTTCAGATTGATGGAGGATGTGTTGTATATGGTTCTATAGAGAACCTTTTTGAAAATGGTTCTAATTAGCACCTAAAAGGGTTCTACTGTTGTTACGTTGTAAAGCTTGTAACAATGGAAGAACCCTTATATTAACCATTAATGCTGTTTATACTAAGTGTATAAATGTAAGTATCTACATTTAAACTCAGAAGACAACTTTTAACAAATAAATTTGAGGTTTTTTTGTTTCATGGTGTGTTGCAGTGTTTAATCAGCAGGACTGGTCCTGACCCAGTAACAGATGAACATATTTATGGGCAGCTTTTTTTTTTATTTTAACAAAAACAAATCAAATGTGTGTGTGTGTTCAAACTTCTGCATATGACTGTATTTAGTAAGTATTTTCCACCTTGAAAACACTACACCAAACACTAAAAGTCAATACATGCTTATTCTGCTCTGTCTACTTAAATGGAAATGTGTATCAGAATAATTGAAGTTCATAAAACAATTTTTTTTTTTGTAATATTGAGCCTCCTGTGTTTGCCACACCTACTTATACAGCACAATGTAATAGGTATCCCTTAAACTTACCACATGCTGCTAAACTTTTAAGTTCCATTTGCTTGAGACCGTCCAGAGCACTCTCTTCTTTTTGGTTCTCAGTCACTGCAGTTGCTTCTTGACAGTTCCTCCCTCCCTCCTTTTACCTGCGCCTAATCACTGCACACCTACAGTTTCAAAGTTCACTTCTCAGTTCTGTGGAAGTTGTATTGTTTCCTTTAAGTGTAAACATGTTTGAGAACTGAGGAGGAACTAGCATGTTCAGTGAATGAATAAAACACTCAAATCAAATGTAATGTTTGTGTAAGTACAGGAGAAAAAGTCAAGATTGTTTAAATGTGCCTGGTCCTGATTAAGGAGAGTCTTGTATGTATGTAGTTGAGGCCAGGTTATTTCTGTATCTACACACTTCATATCTGCCCTTGCTGCGCAGCATATTATTTATATGTTGGACTTCAGTTGCACACAGATAACGTTTTTGCCATGCAAAAGCACTTATCATATTCTGCCCACAAATGTGCTCTGTCATGGTAGCTGCTGCAAGACTGGACTTTACAGAACATTAATGAGAACACACAACTCACAAAATATGTACATTTATGTTCTTTTGAAATGACTTATTTTGTATGTGCGTGAGACGTCACACTTAAGATAGAATGGCACAAAGTTGCTTATATATCTATAAGCAGGGTAACATTAGCATGAATATCAAATTCAAATTCTTTGTCACTGTCATTTTTCAAACTGCCTAATTTTGATTAGCTATTAGCAGCATGGTCCAGCTCAGCAAAACTTGTCCAACCTGGCAAGAAAAACAACAAAGAACACATCTGAGGGCAGAGCACAGATAGGTCAATCCCAGGGTTGGGATTTAATGGAATATAAGTAATGGGAGTATGTATTTAGAATACTGAAATTTAAGTGTCTATATTCAGTCCAAGCTTTATAAAGGCAGTGTTCAGAATACAGTTACCTTTTACATTTTAGGAGAACACTTACCCACTTAGAATACATAGAATACACACCCACCACATTTAAAAAATATACACCATCTTTAAAAGAAACATCATCTATGCTTGTTTTTAAACTATTTTAAAATTACAGCATATAAAAAACAGCTTTTTTACAGGCACTGAAGTTAAAGCTGAAGTCTGAGTAGACTGATAAATCAATGTGATGATCAGTTATTAATCTCAGTGTTACTGAGCTCTGCTAAAGCCTGAGTAGACTGATAAATCAATGTGATCAGTTATTAATCTCAGTGTTACTGAACTAAATAAATATTGAGAATTTTGTAACTTCTTTTTAATAAGTGAATTTTTCATGAAACATATTAACAGTGGAATTCCATTAAGAAAACCGCAAGAAACATATTTTAAATGTATTCTGAATATGTTACATTTTATCTATTTGTACCATGCGCCTGTCCCCTGGCCCTGTTAATGACTGCGAGAGCCGGGAGAAAGGCGGGGTCTGAATCCCGAGCGATTTTTTAGCCACTTTAGCCATAAAATGGCCATTTTAGATGCACATGAGAGACATTTGTGAGGCAGTTAACCTGAGTTTGAGTAGTTGCTTGTGGGAATGTTAGTGTCTGTTTCAAGGGAAACATATTCTCAGTGACTCTTCTGGGAAGCTTTTATTGGGAGGACTCAGCTGGACTGACTGATTTTAAAATTGGAAGCATGGAAGAGTTAAAGTGTCAGAGAGTGAACAAAAGAGTGGACAAATTCAGTACTGATAAGATTTAATATTAAACTTAGTGTTGGAGGCTGAAACTGAAAAATGAATACCTTATGCAAAAGGGCTGTATTAACTGGAAATTAAATAAATGAAAGGCTGGTCTCAGACTTCTGCACAGTACTGTATATCAATATATAACATATAATGCACTATTTCTCTAATAGGGAAAGGTTTCAAACTGAGCTCACGTGTCTAATAAATACAGTCGTACGTAAGTTTGGGCGCCCCTGGTCAAATGGCATGTTTTGTTGATTTTCTAAGTGAAAATAAGTTCACATCCTCAGGAGAGAACACACTTCAGTACATTTTAATGCACAATTACTGTTTATTTGCTGGAAAAAATAATGAAATATGGTCTGTGCAAAGCTTCTGGCATATGTTATATTTTATTCGTTCCAACATGTCAAACTGAGGAGAGTTTAAACAGAAATTGTGCATTAAATTAAAGAAAAAAGGCCACAAGATAGAGATGAGGCAAAATCAAGAGAAATGCAGCCTACCTTGTCTGCATCTTTGACACTGAGTCACAGCTCATCTTAAATTATTGATCTAAAATCCTGATTCATAATTCTAAACAGACAAAGGAGAGACAAAAGCTGGTTGTTTGTCTAAAATTTATTATTTCGCACATACTTCATCTGCCACTGTTAAAAAGTGACTCATCTCATTTTATCACCTGTAAGCATAAATAGTATCCATTCTTTTCCTGTTAATTTAACTGAAAACAGTAACAGGTCATTTTCAGCACCACTGTATAGTACATTCTCTATATTGCATCATATATAAAAATATACAGATATAGTGTTTTTTTTTTTTTTCAAAACATTCTTCCCATGTTGTTCAATGGCATGAAATCAAGGATAAACCAATCCGCATGGTCAGGACTATTTCATTAATTATAGTCATCTGAACAGGACTGTCCTTTCATTCACAGCATTTAAGTATCAGAGATCAGTAGCAGCCAAACTGAATAAAAACACGCCACAGCCACACGGGCATCCTTTCGACTTCGGCAGACCTTTCTACAGACTTTTTGCTCCTTTCCATCCCTCTGGAGGTACGAGACCGATCATGAGAGACTGACAGGTGAAAAGAATCACAAAAACAACAAAGTGTGGGAGGTGAAGAGCTTAGGGTGGTAACACAAGGGCAAGAGTGGCCTCAAAGTTGTAATCCTGTTGTTCTTCTGATGCCCCAGCAGGGGGAGCCTCTTACCAGTTCTATTCCCAAAGGGTCGGGAATACAAATGAAAATGATAAAATTGACAAGGAAAAAAAATCATAACAACTTGAAACAAGTCTTTATACTGAGGCGATCCTGAACAAGAAGAAGGCGCAGTTGGGACAATATCTGTTGCAGTGCATAGCAATAGACTTCTGAGACAGAGCCAAGAGGGGTTTATTGCCTGACAGTGTCTCCCCAGGAGCTGCCCTCAGACGTTTACACACACACACACACACACACACACACACACACACACACACACAGATACACACAGTCACTCACGCATACGCAGAGGCATCAGGACACACCTTCTGCTCCCCCAATGAAAATGAACTGGACACAGAAGAATAGAGTACAACACTTGATGATATTACATGTATTTCTCCTAGGTGTCCAGCAGAAGGCGACAGTCTCTTTATCTGTCAGTCAGGAGAACAAGCAGTGTGTGAGGGAGTGTGTGATGGAGCCCTAGGGGCCTGGGTCCTGCCCTCTCCTTCGCTTGTAGCCCACATGCCCTCACAGGCCAGCTCGCTCATAAAACAGCACATAGGCGTCGCTGCTGCGCACCTGACTGGAGGACATTGGCGTTACTCTGCAGGAGAAACAGAATCATGCTGTATGAGATACTGTACACACTCAGATCTTTTATCCTGTGCCTTTGACACTTAAGGACTTTCTGTTATTATTTGTATCTATAATTTAATATAATTTATCTATAATTTAGCTTTTTATAGGCTCCGAATACTTGTTGGTATTTCAGAGACTCAAAATCAGCCTTAAAAACAATAATATTTACATTTCATAATTGACTGTAATTTTCAGCATGTTCATCAATGCAATTCAAAGTTTTTCCATTAGGAGGCAACCATGTATTAATGGTGCAGACTGAGGCCCAGCTGCTGAAGCCCCGTATGCTGTTATATAGGAGTGAGAAATGCCCTCTTGTTCATATACAGCTCTTTTGAGACATGTAAACATTCAGCTGGCTTCACATGGTTAAAATTTTATGCAGGTTAGTTGCTTAAAACCTACATGAAACTTGTACTTAAGCTGCATAAGGCACCCTGCAACTCACTTGGAACAAATCTGCTTTCTCAACTTCACGAAACAACTTCATGAAACAATCAAAACAGAGATAATGTATCACTTGATCATGTGGAATAACAAACTTTAAAACAACTGATTTCCCCAGATCAATGGACAAGAAAATAAATTGGAAGTTAGTTTGTGTGTTTGAACCCCACAAACGTTCTCCCACCCCGAGCCAGGACTAAGATGGTCCTCAATGGATTTGCAGTTGCATAGCAGGCAATCCACAGCATGCCACCAGTTGCATGTAAGTTTCACCATGTAATTATCATTTAATTTATCTCCATCTCACTTTTAGTTGTAGTTAGTTGCTTTTATTTATTTTGTTGAATTTGATTATTTGGCTAGTTCTCTGTTTTTTCTTGAAAAGCAGCAGTGAGAATTGAGTTCAGTCATAGTTGAGCTGCAGAGAGTGAAGTTTAAGATTGAGAAGCTTTTGTCTACACAAGTGGCAGCAGATTCAGTGTTCCCCTCCTACACTGCAAGAACTCACCAAAACAAACTAATCTGAAGCTCTGAGCTCCTGGTTTTAGCGTCACCCTCACCAAAGACTAGTTGTACTCGTAAGTATTGTTATACTTACATATTTGAGATGATTCAAAGTATAGAAAGTCATTACTACTTCATTGACAAGGACAGATAATACTTTCGAAAAGACAATAATGCTCCCATTAAAAGAATAGTTTGGTTTTTAAAAATTGGCCCAACAATTTCAATACTGCAGTATTTGTTTGTTATGTTGGAATATGTTGGATTATTAAGCCACATAAATTGTATCCTAAACTCTAATACACTTAATCAGCAAAGGCCTTTAAACAGAGTATATTGTTAAAATATGGAAAATGTTACAAATAAATAAACTGCTCTCTTTTCCATGAGGTTATTGATGATAAAAAAGCAAAGATGTTTGAGAAATCACACGTGAGGTAGCACTTTAAATTACTGGACCATAAGAAAGATGCTCAGGGCAAAATTTGTGATAAGAGCCACACAGGGAGGCATGGCAGGTTTGATTAATCATCTCAATTATGTAAGTATTGGGATATTTATCCGACTGCCGCTTAGTGGGCCACATGGTGGCGCTGCTTCCAAGGTCTGCTGGGCCGGCTAGCTGTACACTACAGCTGATTTCAGTTCTATTAACACATCATACATTAATATATTGACACCTACAGGCTACTGGATATATTCTGAACAGTATTTTGCAGTAATAAACATACAATTACGGTTAATAATAAGGAGTATTTGGGTATTAGTTTATAAACACCACCAATTATTCAAACTATGCAATTCTCTTTTGGACATGTTTGTAGTCTGAAGTTTGCATCGTTAATTTTGTGCTGGAGCTATAAAGCAAAGTAGATACCAAGTCAAATGTCATGTTTTGTTGATTTCCTAAGTGAAAATAAGTTATACAACCTTTACAGAGAACAAACATCTGCACATTTTAATGCACAATACTGTTTATTTGCTAAATTTAACGTTTTTTTTTTTGCAATAAGCTAAGCTTAGCAAATAAATAAATAGAAACTGTGCATTAAAATGTGCAGAAAAATGCCATATTTACATTTGTTCCCTGTAGAGAATGTGTTAACTTTAACAAAACGTGTAATCTGACTAGCAGTAAGTAACTTTTGCATACGATTATGACCCTGTTTACACCCTGTCACTTCATGCGTCTTGAAAATCAAGATTATATCTGGATAAGGCCAAGCCACATAAAATGGCAAGTGTAAACACACCCAAGACACATTTAAAACAGATACAAATCCGATCACTCAAACCACTTTTGAGCCACGTTATAGCAGTGTAAATGCATCCGTCTCTTCAAGACACACTTGACAACCAAAACCCTCCCGGTACAACTGAAACTCCACCTCTATGCAGTACATCACTGGGCACGTGATCTGTGTCTACAAGGAAGATAATCATGGAGGACACACACATAGTTGCCCTAAGTTTGAAGAAATGCATGATGACACGCAAAACTGCAAACTTCAAAACAGCAACCATCTTCGGCGTAGCAAAGGAAGAGGCTGAACGGATAAACAATTGGTAATTGGTTGCTGCTTAATGAGTGGATTTGGGTATTCCAGGGGTTGGCAAGCCAAATGTTAAGAAGAGCCATTTTAGCTGCTTTTCTCGCATCTACAGCAGGTAACTTTTCTGCAAAAGTGGAATAGTTTCTTGTAAATGTCTCTCAAAATTCGATTTTTTACGAGGCTGAAGTCGCTTCTCATTCGCCAGCTTCTTGTTTGAACTTTCCCGTTCCACCTTAAATGGTGCTTGAGGCCCCAGAATGTAACTGCTGCACCATTTAAGGCGGAACGGGAAAATATGAACAAGAAGCTGACTTTAGCCTCGCAACTTTTTAGTGTTTGAGAGTATCTCATTGCAGATTACACATATCAGGAAACCAGCTGAAGTGCTTATATATGCAAATATGTCCATTTGTCTCCAAATTATCGATGTTCGTCTTAAATCTTTCTCTGTCTTTTCGTAAGCTACTAGCTAGGCGGGATAGCTGTCTGCGTTGCTATGGTGATCAGCAGTCCACACGCCATCCTTCAGGGTTAAAGGCTGAACTGGCAGTTATACATGAACTCCAGCGTTAAGATCATTGTTAAAACTGTGTTAGAACAATCAGCAGAGCTTTATGTTACTGCAAAGGAGGATTATTTTATTTTTACCTAAAAATCGAATTCTGTGGAGCCGCAACAGGGCAGTAAAAGAGCCACATGTGGCCGACCCTTGGCATATTCCATCCCACACAGCATTCGTATTTCAGTCCAACTAACCTGAGATGCATTTGACTACCGAGTGTAAATGCATGCAGCTGAAGTCTTATCAGGATACAAAACAGATATTAGTCACATTAAGTGACCACCTGTAAACGGGGTCTTAGTATTATCTATAAAAATAGACAAAAGCACACACCAAATCCTTGAAGATGGCCTTTTTTACATATAACAATATGTAATATAGTGTTAGAAAGCACATAAGCAAGTCCATTTGAGATTAATTAACTCGGAATGGTTGGAGGAAAATGTGTGATGATTTAGGGATGCAGTTTGATAGCGACATTAGCCTTGAAGCTCCGGTGCAAAATTAAAGAAGCAGATTTAGGACACCAAACGTGTCTTGGCTGATCAACTGTATTTGGGTTGGAAGAAGCAACAATTGTAAAACTGTGTAAAACTGATATTTTGCTAAACGATTTAGCTGCAAAATTCTTGTGAACCAGCACTGAGAGGAGTTCCACAGAAAAATAAAATGTGTGCTGAAGCTTCATCAGGTTTAAGCACGGCGTTCACAGAGAGAGCGAGTGGGAGGAGAGAGGTTAGAAAGCACGAGTGAGAGAGGGGGTGGTTCAGCAAGGGAGAGAAAAGAAAACAATGATGGCTGGAAGGAGAGGAGTTGGCAACATGCAGCACAAGAGCTTCATGAAGAGCCTTTCTTGAAGCCTAAGCTGTGTTGAGGTGCGCAAGCAATTTTAAGGACCAAACCCTTGCATGAAGGTTGGGGACATGGACAACAGTAGTGTTAGAACAGGGGACATTATTTGCAAAGCGCCAGTGTAGCTGAAAGTTTTCATTTCAACCAAGCAGGAGTGAAAACCTGCAGCCACACCAGCCCTTTGTGGATAGGAACATCAGTGGGAATTTAAAGGGAGTGACAATGTTGGCAAGAGGGGAAGCTTGAGCAAGAGATGAATGTGTAAAGAGTACCTGGAGTCATTATATGTGTACCATTCTCCGGTGGCAGGGTTGCAGCAGTATGCTGTGTAATGTCCCCCCATGGTAGTGCCTGAGTGATTGGACACTGCATACAGATTGTAGACTGCACTACCTACAGATGACAAGAGCAGACAGAAAGACATCAGAACAAACTGTTATGCTTCAAAACACTGAAACAGAAACAGAGAAAGACTGTTCTATCTGTTTATCTACTGTGGGTCTAACATTCAACAGTACTAACTGCTTCTGTCGGAGGCAAACTCCCTGAGGTCCAGGTCCTTCATAGGGAAGTTGACAAAAGTGGACAGCTTGCTGGATCTGACACGAGCTTCTGAAAACCGCTTCAGATCTGAATGACTGAATCAAGGAAAGACATAGTCCTACCAAAACACAGCAGCCACTAACAAACATAAAAAGAAACATAAACACATCTAATATTTCTGGGAACCTGATGAGGAAAAACACTAAAGGGTCCATATCACTGATTTCTTTTTAAATTAAAGAGTTTCATGTAGTATACAAACATTATTAAAGTTTCAGAATGCAGTACTCACTCCACAGTCCTCTGTGGAAACTAAGCACTAAGCTGCAAAAACAGCCCATTTAGAATTCACTGTTTTGGTGATGTCACAAAAATCAACATAATTACACACACAATATATATATATATATATATATATGTTATCTCTTAAAGGCACAGTAACACTTTTATTCTAAGGTATAAAGAGACGCTGGAAAATTATCATGTAAAAACGAATTATGACTGTTTTTGCTACATAAAACCTTACAAACTAATAAGTGAACCAGAACATAAGGGGAAAAAATGAATAAAATAAAAAGATATAGACCCTTAAAAGCACATTGTCCCTGTCATACCAAAACCCTGTAACTCCAGTGAGTGTGTTTACATGCACACAATGCCCACAATCTGAGTATAATCGGATTTCTACAGTTATCTAATTATTCAAGTGGTCATGTAAACAGCATCCTCTGACTTCTTTGACTGAAGTAAGGTCTAGAAATCTGATTAAGACATCTGATAAAGAGCTGAATTTTAGCTCAGTAATAAGATTTCTCAGTGCATGTACACTCTTACTCAGATTTCTTTTGGATTTTTCAGTCAGCGAAAAAACGGACTGTGGTGCCAGAATAAGTAAGCAGTGTTTAACACAGCCCCCGCAAGGTGGCAACAAAACACATCTGGAGTGACGCTGAAACCAATCACATGCTTCACGAAGTGAAGAATTTAAATATTCTTCATCCTCTGGATGATGTATGTTCATATTTTTGGGCAAAGTAGCCCAATGTTTTTAAAAAAGAAAGTTTTAGTTTCATATTACGTTTACATCACGTCTTCTTCTGCAAGTTTATTGCCTGGTTGCAACGCATCCGAAAACTGCCTGACTCACGTAGACCTGGAGTTTTCCCATTATCTGATTACCCAAGTGCATGTAAACACAATCAGATTACTCACAAAATCTCATTTTCTGCAGTTATTGAATTATTAAGTGCATGCAAACGCACTCAGTGTTGTACATTACATTTTACAACATTGGACAGTGCAACAATAGATGGACCAATAGACATGGCCCAAAATTACTTGGTAAAAATCTTGGTATCTTAATCTAGTACTAACTTGCATCCAAAAGTAAGACCTTGTTTCCTTCTCTTATTACCATATTGAGGTTTAGAGGCTTTATTCCAAGACCAACAATAGGTCTATGGGGTTTACAGTCTGTGCTCATCTAAAAAAAAAACACAAACCAACAAAAAAGCAAAACAAAAGGAAGGATACGTAGCACTAGGATTTTGGGGAATCTCTGAATTGTGAACTTCTTAGTACATCTTCTTCTGGCTTTACATCTGTAACATGTCTGAAAGAGAAAGAGACAGGCAAGCCCTTTAGCAAACCCAACAATATTTGCCCAACAAATATGAGCTTTTTGAAAGTGCTTTATCCAGAAAAGTAGTTGTTAAATTATCAGGGGCAGCAGGGCAGGAGGTGACAAAGCACACAAAGTCTCACCGGTTTCTCATCTCCATCCAGCACATCTTCTTTAGTGAAAAGCCGCATGCAGTCCATCAGACTGACCTCTCCGTAGCCCTTCTGAGCGGAATACACACTGTTAAACACTGCTCACTTCCTCTCACTGTACCTCATGCATTACAGAGGACATTACAGAGCGAGTGTGTGTGGTTTACTGAGCAGAACTGACCTTGGCGATTGGTAAGGAAAGATCCCAGAATGGATCAAACACAGTGGAACAGTAGCCACATTCAGTGCACGTCAAAGAGCTCTTCAGCTGCCCTACAAACAAGTCTGAACACATAAGACAGAAACATTAAGCACAGTATAATCACAGAAAATGATTCCTATATTGAATTATAATAAGATGTATTTATTTATTTGTTTATATTATATGGCACCAATTCAATACCAGGTAGTGATACTGGACCAATATCAGCAGAAAATGTTGAATCGGATGTTAGGAGGGGAAAAAGAATGAATCCTATCAAATCCTATAATAATTTTAGCCTAAAACAGCATTCACTCACATTAGCTATGTTTCCATCCAAAGGATTTTTATGAACACTTCAAAAAGTTTGTCAATGTAAGCTATGAAAAACAGAAATTATCTGTAATTTTTTATGAATGCTGACAAAACTTTTAGCAGTAAACTGTTTGTCGATACCCATGTCGCATAGACCTACAATGTAAACCTTTTTTGGGAAATATGTACACAGAAATTTGGTGTAATGTGACCGATTTCCCTCTTGTGCCTCTTATAACAAATGCAAACAGTATGGCGGAGAGGTAGAGCTGGACTGAAGAGGTGGCGAGAGTGTACTGTTTGTGCTGCTGCCACTTTTCAGCATTTACAAAGAAAAACTTACAGCCTTTATGAATGGATAATGCTCAAACAGCCTGAGCTGTACAGATATACACTGATGAGCCAAAACATTATGACCAGATGAAGCGAATAATGTTGATCTTGTCATAACAACTGTGCATGTTAGGGTCTGGGATATCTGGCATACATGTTAACATCTATTTTACACCTGCTACCTACCAACACCTCATTGTGGACTGGGTACACCCCTCAACGTCAATGATATTCCCCGATAGCAATGGCTGAATTCAGCAGGATAATGCATCCTGCCACACTGCACACATTGTTCAGGAATGGATTGAGGAACATGACAAAGAGTTTAAGGTGTTGCCCTGGCTTCCAAATTCCCCAGATCTCAATCCAATCAAGCATAGTGGGATTTGCTGGAACAAGAAGTCTGACTGCAACTTGCAACTTACATTATGTAAGAGTTGCTGTCAACATGCTGGTGCCAGATACCTCAAGAGATCTTGTAGGGTGCAAACCTTGGCCAGTCGGAGCTGTTTTGGCAGCATGAGGATGACCAGCAACATATTAGGCAAGTGGTCATACTGTTTTGGCTCATCAGTATACATGTACAGATCTATATGGCAGAGAAATGTGATTTCTTGCGTAACCATTCCGATGGAGAAAAACAAAGAAAACCAATTAAAATTTCCTTATCAGTAGGTTATGAGAAGATCAGGGATACTAAATTTACACAAGTTACAACATATATGTCAAATACAACTTTTTTATCGCTGAAAAAAAGACTTATGTGCCAACAGGGTTTTTTCACTTGAAATGACATTTCGTAAAGCATTTTTATTGCAAAGTCAGTTTGATGGAATCAATGGTTTCAGTAATATAAAACCATTCTAGCTGCAGATACATGAACAATAATATTACTACGCACACTTTTACAATAAAAAATGTAAGAATTTTAGATGTGTGCAGAATGAGGACTGGAGCTGATTCAAAAATGACAGAGAAAGCTGAATAGGTTTAAAAATGAAGTTATAACAGATATGCAAAATAAAATGCATCTCCAGAATGCCTCGTATTTTCTAAAGTGGAAATCTACACTGTGTTATTAGTGTATATATAATAATAAACAAAGTAACAAGGCACAAACTGCATTGGTTTACAATACACTGATTCTTGACGCCAATCATATTTCACTATGTCTCAAAAGTCCGAAGGGACATTCTCAGTGTATACATACCTACAATTTTACTGTCCTCCCTTTCCAAGTACTTGCTCCACATCTTCTTCCCTTTCTCTTCATCACTGTGGGAAATAAAATGGACTGACAGTCAGTGGAACTTGCATGTGAAGTGCCACTCATGGTCACACACATCCTCTGCTACAAATATAAATTTTTCTTTTGGACCACAGAGCGCACAAGCTGCTGGTCCAAGCAAGCTACCCTCTGGCCAAACACTTCAGTAAACACATGCCTGGCTCAGCTCCAGGGACTCAGCAAGAAAAAAAATACACACACAAACTTACGGCAAATGGTCAAAGTCCTCTGTGATTGCCCGTGGCCGGACTGTAACCCTGTTCACCTCGTTGTGCAGGCCGTCCAGCAGGAAGCGCAAAAACTCCTGAGCGTCCTGTTGGCTGAACAACACACAAAATATCTCTCAGCACTGGCCATGGCTACAGCAGGGAACTGGGCTGAGTAAATAACTGCCCAGCAACAATCCTGTGGATGGTTGATGATAAGTACAGTTTGCTAACAAGGATCAGAAATGGTACAGTGAATGGAAATGAAAACAAAATATGAACATTATTTCTTCACAGAACAAAATTGAGAACAGGACTTGTTGGTTAACCAAATATGGTTAACTGGTTAATAATGTTCCACATGCTGTTCTGCAGTTGGTTAGAACAATATACAAGAACAAGTAAGAACCATTCTTTTGATGTAGCACCTTGTGTGTATAGTAGGCCTATTCAGATAAAAAAAAATAGCTTTAAAGCAGTCACTGTTGCAGTTTCATTTTAAAACTTTCATTTTAAAACTTTGGAAGCTGAAAGTCCTTTAAAAAATATTGTTTTTGGTTTTCATTTTCATTTTCATAGCTGAGACCAAAGCTTACTTGTAGCCCACAAATCTCGGGGCATATCGCTGGATCTGGGTTTTGAACTCAGAAGGGCTGACCGCTTCACTGCCGGACGACGTCCACATTGTCTGAATGAGCTTGGCAAATTCTGAGATCAAAGGGACAGAAGAATGCTTTGAACAGGCCTAACAAATGCAGTTCTAACAAAGGGAGTTACTGAAAAAATGAGCAAGTCCAAAAACGCTGCTCAGGGCAAGCGTCCTCACCCTCCATGAGTGCAGTATTTGTGCGATTGTTGTTGTTGAGGTCTCGGCGGTGGGAGTTGTGCAGACAGTAGTCTCGCAGGCTGTGTGTGTTGCTAAGACACTGAAGGATGGAGTTCATAAAGCACTGTAAAAAGAGACAAAGTAAAAGAGTTCAAAAACTACCATATATATTGGCATAAAAAGCAATAGAGAAGGCTAAAGCTCCCTCCACCGCTCTTCACAGCTCAGTTCAGTAAGAGCTGAAGGAGCGCCGAAAGCACCAGCTCGGACCAGTTTGCCATGTAATGTGTAATGATTTATTTTTGGACCACTCGATTACTGTTGCCTGGCAAAAGCCTCCTAACTGAATGTTCAGTGCAAAGAGATAGCATGACAAATAATCTCATCAAGTGGAAAGACCAAGAGGAATGTGAAAGTGATATCAAAACACTTCTTCTGTGAGCTGTCGGATTTGTCGCGACCACAAGACGAGAGATATGACAGATTAAACAGATTCTATTTTGAGCATGTCAGACATACTCTGTATTCGGTAAACAGTGGATGACAAGAATAAACTGGAGAGAGGACAATTTTGTTTGCTAATGTACGTCATTGGGATGCTTCCACACTACTGAGGATCCCATTTTGAAAGAACAGATTTGGATATCATCACCGTTGGAACCGAACCTCCTATCTCCATTTTTGGTCATGGAGTTGATTTTTTGACATTGTGTCAATATTTAATGATGAATAGACCAATAGAAATGGCCCAAAATTACTTGGAACAAGTCACTTCTCCATTAACGTCCATTAAAAGTCCTTCTGTAAAATTACCTTTTTGGAGATACGAAGTTTTTGTTCTGACAGCAGCAATATACTACATTGTGGTTTATGAGTGACATGTCATTGTGGGAAAGATGGGCCAGTAGTGTACTCACTGTATTTCCCAAATTCTTCAGACCCACCAGGCCTTGGGCACTCTTGGAGTTCTGTAAACATGTAAAAATGGACAAGCCACTGGTTAATTACCAACAGCACAGTTTTCCCTTAAACAGAAATAAACATGGCAGTTTTCAACATAGAGGCTGTTTACAGCTTGCATTAACCTGCATTTTTGGTAATTAGGTCACATTTGGATTCCACCAAGTATAAACACACCCAGGATATATTGCCATTGGACTGAGATTCGATCACTCACTTCGGAGGCGGTCAGAGGTGGATCGCGACCACATTCGACACAAGTGTAAACGGAACTTGTTTTCAACATCCACAAACAATTAAGCAAGTGGAAAAGGCTGACCAGCAGGTGAGAAGGTAAACACAGAAATAAAAGATGGAGGATACAAAAGGCTGGAGTTATCCCCAACCATTCTTGCACTCTGGTAAAATAAAAAAACAACAAAAAAAGATGTAAGAGTCAACGTGCTTTTTATATGGGGAGTTTAAAAAAGTCTAAATAAATTCGGACTAAAGTATATCTGGTATGATCTGGTCATGAATTACATGTTAACCCCTTAACAGTCCAGGTTTTTTTATACAAAGCCTTATTATTCAATAACTACAGGGACTTCAATGCAAACTACTGGAGCTTTTCTTAGGTTACTGATGTGTGTACAAAACCTTTTGCGTGTTAAGGTGTACACAAGTTCATATGTGTTTATTTTAATTTTATTTGTGTGGATTTTACAAAAATACCTTGTTTTCTTCAACCACTTAAACTCTAAAGGTCTTTATGTAGGCCCACATTTCAGTTCCTCACTCTCTTGATTACTTAACTCACATATTAATTTCATAGTAGTTACTGAATAATTCTGGACTATACAATATGTACTAAGAGTAACAAGCCTAGTGTTTCAAAAGTTGACTTGTACTGCACGTAGAACTGGTTAGGCTGAAGCTAGACATTAATGGAGCAGACAGGCTCGACACTTGACACTGTGTTGTTTTTCTGGAGCACTGAAGCACAGGAGAGGAAATGTGATCCACCCAGAGCTGCAACTCAATCAAACAGCAGGGTGACTGTGACGTTGGTCAGTAGGCTTCACCTGGACACTGAGTGGCTATACAACTGTACAGAGAGGATCTACAACTGGAATTGAAATCTTATAGTTTTCCAGCGAACAAGAGGGAACAAGCATTTCATTGTTACCATGCAAGCGCCTACCATCTGTGCATTTCTCAACAACACTAGGAAAAATAACAGCTTAATTAACTGGGGATTATCAAAATCCTCATTTCGGCAAATTTCCACGGAAATATTAAGAGCCTCTACACACGGATGTATACCACAGCTTTTGTGGTTTGGCACTCGACGTTCCATTGAACAGCCATGTAAGGGACTCACAGTGTCCCGCTCTGATAACGCTGCTATTGGAAACCTGCCTGTTATGTCCTGCCATTTCAAGAGCGGCCTCTTCGACTCAGTTTGTCGTACTCTGCTGAGTAATATCATCAAGGCCAAAAATAGCATCCTCTTACACGGGCTGTTTGCTCATTGGTTGATCTGTTGTACCAGCGGCAACACTGATCCCATATCAGCAGCTGGCGGGAGAGAGCCATCCTGACCATTTCCTCAGCTGGGCGACTCTATTTTTACGGCCACTGACTGAAGGAGCACAGGGACATAAGCTATGTTCCACAAACGGACCGTACAGGTGCTAAAGGCAACTCCTTTACTGTACTGTACTGTAGTGTAGCTGTTGCAATCATGCCATTACCTCATAGATTATTCATAGAGATTCTGTACAGTGGAACATTTGTGCCTTTAATTTGAGATTTGGGAGAGTTTTCAATGAGTATCCGGATGGCGCGTAAGAGGTTAATGCTGCCTGCTTGGGGCATTTCTCAATACCCAGTGTGAAAAGCCGGAGTAACCCTGCAGCTAATCACTCCGTATTAGCTAATCAACTTGTCACAAGTTTGCTCCTATTGCAAAAGACCATGACGCCTCGATTCAGATGGGCTTAAAGTAAGACTACATCAAACGACCCAATTAGTAGGAATCAGAATAAGCTTCTTCAGAATGTTTTAAGGACCAGTAAGAGAGGGACAAAGTGAAGAGATATCAGACATTACAAATTAGTCCCACTAGAGATGCTCCTGGAGTAATCACAGTCAGTTTAAGACCACCCTCTTCAGGGCAGTCAGCTTTGCCAGTTACAATCACTGTTAAAAGAGCTTCATGCTAACTTATTAGCATCTTCTGTCATCAGAAGAGATGGGACCAATTGCAGAAGACTGCCCCAGGGGCAAGGCCTAAATGAGTTTGTCAAATGAATTGTACAACGCAGACGCAAAAAGACATCAATTTGCGCTCTTGTCCTCTTTCATTGCTTTCTCTTTCTGTCTGACTGTTGATAAGGATGGAAGTGGGTCACGGTGCACTGCTGTCCCTAATACAGAGAGGTGAGGGAGAGTAATCCTGCTTTTATAACTGGGTCCCTCAGTGCACACTGTGGACCACAGCCTCAGATCAAAAGACAAGATTAAGCGCTGCATACAGATCATACAGGTCTTCACAGCTTCATCCACTGTCCTATATTAGGAATGCTGCTGCACAACAATGGCAGATGATTACGTGAATATCACACTAACAGTATACCATTAATGTTATAAACTGTGTTCCAAACCATTTTCAAGCATAGAATTTACCATTATGTAAATATTAGAGGAACATTAGAGGAATGCATTGAGAGGAAGGGAATGAAGTGAAACTGAATGAACAGGGAATATCACTGATATCTTCAGCTGTTTTAAGACGATGTTAATGCTAGACTTGTGATCTTGCCAGTGGAACATGCTGTCAAACTACAGATTTGGGGATTGTACAAGCTGTGGAATATAGCCCAGAGGTATCTGACAGGAAATTGCCCGGTTATTATTTATCTCGTCTTTTATGCCAAGATCAAGATCTTCACAGCAAATCAATGATAACAGTATTCATTTATCACAGACAGTGCTGGGAAAAAGTCAGAGACCACCCTTCATTTGTTTAATTTCCAGTCAAATGGCCATTAAGTACAAGTTATTCACTTTTTCAGGAGATACTTCTGAGTGGATTATATAAGATATATAAGATAATTAAGAGCAAAGTAAAATGAATGTAAGTGAATTAAACAGGAATTCGTGAAAATATGTGAAAAAACAGGAATTTCCGGTGATCTGCCTGGCACATCACTAAAACTGTTACCTTCGGATAAACAGCTTTTATCTTTGAGAGAGACAGGAGAAAATAAAACCTCCACTCTTGCTTCAGATCTGAAAAAACCTACAGATTCTGTCCATTGCTGGACTGCTGTGTCTGATCCATTCATACCAACGCACTAATACACACACACACACACACACACACACCATCACCACCACCACGTCAGTGTCACTGCAGTGCTGAAAATGTTCCACCTCCCAAATAATACCTGCTCTGTGGTGGTCCTGTTTTGGTCCTGACTATTAAATAACAGAGCAAAAGGCGGCTAACAAAGTATGCAAAGTATAACAGATAAACTAGTCTGTAACTGTTGAACTACAAAGTGATGATAAAATGGACAATGAGTATAGAAACAAAGAGGTGGTTTTAATGAAGCTGCTGATCGATTTATGTTTTCTGCCTCTTCTTCTGACTGTAAAATGAATAACGTACATTATGGCTGTTTTGATTGGAAATTAAATCAATGAAAGGTTGGTGTCTGATGTCTGCACTGTACTGTATTTCACATTTGTTACACATAGCAAAAAAAACTAAAAGGTACATGCCTTAGACCATTCACTACCGTTAGTCACAGGAAGGACAGGGTTAACCAGCATGACTGTGGATAGCTGACAGAATCAGTACACTGCTCCCTGAGGGAGAGAGGGTGACCCTTACTTCCTCTGGGAATGCGGGTAAATGGCACTTTCTGAGACTTGATCTGAGGCTCACTTCCACTTGGTAGCACTGTTTTTACCAGCGTGCTGTCACTTCAACACCTAATAATGATATTTTTAAGTGCTTCTTAATCCATTTGCTCTTGAAATGTAGAGTCACTGCCTCCATTCTAAACTGCTGATTTACTAGAAGTGTGATTCCTGTGTATCAAAAGAGCACACCTCACTCCATCATCTCTACGGTGAGCTGGCAGAACATCGGACAGTGCTGGAGAACACTGCGTACTGTCCTTCCTCCTTCAGCCAGCAGATCGTAAACAAACTGGCCAGCATGCTCCTTACACTCACTTATTACCTGTCACTCCACCAGCACACCAAGGGGCCAGGAGAGAGGGCCACTGGCAGTTAGCAGAGAGAGAGTGGAGGTAGGAGTGAAATTCACAAGGACAGAGCTATCAAACTATTTGGCACAAAGTTTAAAGCAATATTTCTCTTGTTTAACTAACAAAGAATGCTGTATATCAGGATGCTGTTCACTACGCATTCTTCATCCTTGGATGATAATGTAAATTTAGATTACCATCTGCATATTCTTACACTATAGCTCACTTTTTCACTGATGTCAATAGAATTACCATATAATTACCAACTGAGCTAGCTTCTAATACTACTTAGTAATTTGTAATGACAACTATATTCTGCACAGACAGCACATAAAACTGTTAATATCCAGTGTTAATATCCTATGCATTCCTTTGGATGGAAACCAAAATACTGGCACCTTGGAGAAGCTCTTCTGGATAAGGTTCTCCGTTATTGTCTGTTGGATGGCAGATCTCCTGTACCGCAGGTCTGTATCATTTGCATATACTTAGCCAGATTGAAAGTTGATGTTATAATCGTTCAAAGTGCCGTGTGAAGTGTGTGCGTGTAGTTATTTAGTTGGTGATGTTGAAAGACCAACAATTCGCCTAATATTGGCACTTATTTAAATTACCACAATATTCGATAATACCAGTTATTGGCCCATGTCTGTATTATGATCTATAAGCATTCTTTACTTAAAAATGAAAACAATCCTAGTAAGTTCTCAGTGGTGTTACTGGCTTCTCTGATACTTTTATTA